CAAACGAAGTTTAAATAAATTTTATGTGCTTCGTTTTTGCTGCGGCCCGCTGATGATGGCGCATATGTTTAATCAGCAAAGTAAACCCGACCCGAGACTGACCCGGCATCCAGTTAAATCTCACCTCGCCATGCCCTGCCACGCCCACGCCTCCCAGTAAACAAAAGTTGCCCTTTTTTTTGACACAACCGCACACGGACACACAGGGAAAGGGTTTCCACAGTCCGTTTCTGTGGTGTAAGTTCGTCTGGAAATTACATTAATTTTATTAAGGAATTATGAAAGTTAAAGGGTTTAATTTTGGAGAGTTTTTGGGTTGAATAAATATTTTTTAGAATGAAGTAAGAAGGTTTTATTGGTTTAAATTTGCTTCAGAAGATGTATTAATCACTGGGGGAAATTTCAAAATATTATTATTAAAAGAAAATACCTTTCTAGATAAACTATAATTTTTAAAATCAATTTTTAAGGTCCTTTAATACTCCTTAAAAATATTAACCAATTTCATTCAATGTAGTTTTTGACACATGTTTTCTAATTGCCCACAATTTCCATTAAAGTTTGTTTCCTTATCTTTGATTTATTTGATTTTTGATGCACACTACAATATGACTTTAATTAATGGCTTTCTCTCGCCATAAATTTAATGTCTCTGTTTTTATCTATAAAGAAATCTCTCGCTTAAAGGTGAAATAAATTGAATTTATTCCCATCAATCAGCTTAGGAAAGGACAAACAAAACGCTTTGATATTTATTCTGACAACTGTCTGGAGTGTTAACCACTCCAACTATATTAAAAGTTAATCCGCTGTCAGCCTGTGTGCGTCGTCATACAGTTCTGAAACGGACTGCAAAATTTTTTGACTGCAGCATAAAAGTTGGTAAAGTCAATGACCAGTTAAGTCAACACTTCGCCAGTGGAAGAGGTGGTGGGAGGATGGCAAGGTGGTCTCTGGGGGGCGTGAGGTGAGTGGGTCCATATTGAAATCGTTCACATTTTAATATTGCATTTTAAAGAACATAAAACTGGTGACAGTCATGTTTGTGTCCATGTGCCACAAGCATATTTAAGGATTTTTATTGCAACGCGTCGGGCAACAAAGGAAAACGCTGTGAAAAGTCCGCCAGCGCAAGAAGAAAAATGGGAAAATATACAGAAGAAAATATTGCCTTGTCTTGGATTTTTACGAAAGCAAAGAAAGCTGTCAATAACTTAAAAAATGGGAAACTTTTGTCATCAAAAGGCAATATTATTATATTAATTTTCTTTCAATAAAAGAGAAGGATATTTGTTATGGAAACGTAGCAATTCACACGAAAGTGAGTTCCTTTTGAAACAAATAATTATTAAAACACAAAAGGAAACATCAAGGAAAACCCCTTAAAGTATTATATTAACTCAAAAGTAGTGGTCAGGCTTCTTGGAATATTTTAAATATAATTATAATTATTTAAAATTTACTTTCCCCATATTCATGATTTCAGTAATATTAGAAAAAATATTAAAATTATACAAAAACCCGAGAAAAATTATTTCAAGTGTTATTTTTTATATGGTTATGACTCTTCAAAGGTTCCCACTTATTTCTAGCCGTGTAACCATGAAGCGTAAGAGCGGATAACATGGGATATCGTTATGTATAGCTTGTTTGCTCTTTGCTACAATGTTGTTAAATTTTATGTTTCCACAGGTAATAGTAGCAGCAACAGCGGCGTCGGCATCATCATTTCCAAGAAAATGCACATCCTCGCTCCCGAAGTTCCATTGCAGTAAGCGGGTGCTTTTTTGATTGATGTTCCTTCTTTTCCTTGAACGTTACTCGGAGGCTTCCTTTTCTGGATGCTGCTTCCGGTTTTGTTGCTTTAGGTTCCTCTGCTGCTTCCTCTCTTGCTCCTACGTCTTGCTCCTCCTGCTTGCTCCTTGCTTACAATCAATTTAAATGCGCCTCTGTGCATTGTAAGGCGAAATTCCTTTGGCTAAATCGCTGTGTGTATGTGTGCCGGCCATAAAACTGGATAACTGGGCCATATTGCAGCACCATGCCACTTGGCACCTTCCCCATATGCTCCTACTCCTGCTCTCCCTGCTCCTTGTGCTGCTGGGGTAAACTTTTCCCGATGCAAAATGATGCAAGTTTCCCTTTCGGTGCCTTTGTTTTTCCACTCCCACGGTTTGTTTGCTCTCCTGGTTTTCCCCACACACCGATCATTTATCATTTTTATAGCCCCTGAATGGGACATTGGACTAATCTAAATGATACCATCGCTGCCTGCCTGTGCATAATGGAGAAATAGTCAAACGATAAAGACATAAATCAATCAAGTTTTTCGGGGCGAAATCGAAGGAAGTGGCAGTCGTGAGGGATGTATATCGAGAGGAAAATATATCGGAAAAAAATCGATTGTAAGAAATATTTTTCTCGTAAAATAAGAAATAATGAAATTTTAAATATCGTACAAAGTAACATATTAAAACTTAAAATATTGTAATTGTTCTTTTTAAGAAATTATTAATATACTTATTATTGAGATATTCAAGTTTTCTCCCATCTCTAAGCTGTGGTACTTGATGTTTCATTGCAAGGAGCCCTTGAATGAATTACACAGATTTTCCAGACTCCCAAAAAACATTGATTTGTTGAGATCATGAATTCTGGGAACACTTCCCCCAATAAAGCCATCAGAAACAGAAATTTTTGGCATAAGAAAACATGTTTAAGCTTTTTGGCAATTAACTCGGAGACAAGGAAAATAACGAAAAACTTTTCTTGATAATTAACCTTCGTTAAGAAAGGAATTTTGACAGATTTTGATGAAGGTCCTTTCAATCTTTCACTCTCACCACATTTATGAAGCTTAATGAGCTCAAAAAAACAAAAGAAAAAAGTATAAATATGATATTAAAATATATTTAAAATCCTTGTAAAATATTTTTAAATTATAAAAAAACTTTAAAATCTTTGCAAAATATTTAAAAATAATTTTATATTTCCTAGATTTAAAATCTACTTTATACAATTAATTTTAGTTCAAAAGTACAAACTAAAAAAGTATAAATAAAAAATATATTTAAAATCCTTTTTAAAATATTTCATAGATTTAAAACCTTTTTTATGACATTAATTTCGCTGGCTGACTGACATTGACAAGGGTCCTTCACTGACCTAAGACTATAATATCGATGTTTATGCCCCTATAAACCTTCTTCTACACTTAAACTGTGTGTTTTTTGAGGCTGTGACATGCTTTAAATATTTTACAACCCATTCAGCTTTTACCAACATTCCATTTGCTTTATTTTTTATGCTTTCTTTTTGTTTTAGAAGCCAATTTCAAACACGTTCAGCTAGGGAAATTCCTGTGACAAATATTCCACAAGCACTAGAATAGGACAAACACATTCCTTGGGCAATTTTCAGTTCATTTCCATTTCGAAGCTGACATTAAATAATTTAGAGAGAGCGCAAATAAAATAATATGGTTCATAAATGTGTTATATATAGTGCATACCATATATGTATGAATGTACATTTATGTGGAGTGCCGAGTGCCTGTGCCAGTCGCAGTTGGCTAGCAAATTTGTCCTAATTCTTATGCCACAGTGACCGCAAAGTTTCGCCCCAGCCGAGTGCCATGTGCCACGCCCCCCACCGCCCACTTGACTAACTTAGCTGGCAGGCAATTGAAATACACGCAATTGAACAACAAATTGAATTATGCATTGCATATGCTTCTTGTTTGCCGTCTATGTGTGTGTGTGTGTGTGTGTGTGTGTTTGCCGGGTGTAGAGTAAACAAATTGATTTTGATTTGATTTATTTATTGACTCCCGCCGGTTTTCGCTGCCGCACATCTCACTTCCCCTCTCTCTCTATGTTCCTATCTCTATTTTCTCGATTTTCCCAGTGTTGGCCACGTTCCGGTTTTTGGCTACACTGAGGGAAATTCTGGGGGTTTTAGGGGGATTCTTTTTATTTTAAATATTATTATTATAGCCTGGCGGGGTATTACCATATATTTTTGGTCAGAAGCTTGCTAGGCAGTGAAGGAGCCTTTTCCGACCCCATAAACCATATATATTCTTGATCAGCATCAACAGGGGAATCTTTCTAGTCATGTTTGAAAAAAAGTTTATATTTTTGCAATTTTTATAAAATTTCATAAGGGGTTACATCGTTAAAATTCTCAAAAATTAAAAGTTTTGTTGATTTTTTTTAATTTAAAATTCATTATGCAGTTTTTTTAACATTGTAAAAAATAATACAGAAAAGCTTTCCGAATTGAATTTAATGCATTTTTGACTTAGTTAGGGACTTTTTAAACTTTGATTTGCCATTAAAAATCTAATATTAGAAATAATTGATTAAATATTAAATTTTTAAAATTCTGGAAAGAAAATTAATTAACATTTTAAGCCTTGGCTCCTTTCTTTCTTGCTAATTGGCCTCCTTTTCTTTCTTACTACTTATTTTTTAGTAAATATATACGAAACATAGACTAACGGACACACTGACGGACAGACGGACAGGCTAGTTTTACCTCCAAAAGACTTGACCAAAGATTGTGGATGAATTAATACTACTGATTTTATATTAAAAATGCTTAGTAAAAACAATTAAATAATCTATATAATAATCTATATAATCTAAATAATCTATATAAAATTTCTATACATTTTTTCTCAGTGTGGAAACACGATTTAGCGCATCGCCAGAATATGTTCGAGATGGCCCCGAATGGATGCAGTCGGACATTGGCGGCGGCAGCTGCCTAGAAATCCCGGGGAGCGTGTTGAGCGAAAACCAGAAACGGAAACCATAAACCTAAAACCGAAACCGAGACCTCAGACTCGAAAATAATGTACAGCAGCAGCAGTAGCAGCGGGCATTGAAGTTGACAACACTCCGGGACACATCACCCAACCCACACACACACACGCACACACACACACACACCACACACCCAAAATACTGAGGAGAAGCATCGGTTGAAAGCTTTTTTGGTCAGAGTACAATGGTCATCCAGTGCACATGTGATTGCAACTGCAGTGATAGTAGAGACAACCGGAGCCTCATCTCCTGCCTGATCCCGGGCAGAAGCCAGCCCCTCAAGTGGGGATCGTCGGCCGGCGGCGATGTCGATAACGGATCATCGGAGGAGCATCATCACCGGACCCCCTACTACCGCCGCCTCTCGAATACCTCATCGGCGCTCTACGGCAGCTGTCCCCAGTTATTGCCCCCCAGCACGAGTGGAGGAGTCTCTGCTTCTGCTGCTGCTGCTGCTGCCCATCCCCCAGCCGCCTGTCTCCAGCGCCTGCTCCGCCACCCCGAGGCGGAGGAGCGACAGTACTCGAGTCTGGTGAGGCCCAAGCAGCGGAGTCCCGTGCTGTGCAACAAATGTGCGCTGTGACGAAGATACAATCTGAGCTGTGAGCATCCCAAAGCCTCCACCAAACAGCAGCAGCAGCAGCGGGATCCTGACCAGCAGGACCAGAGTCAGCAGGGACAGCAGGATCCGCAGGATCTGCAGGAGACAACACAAGGCCAGGCTGCGGCTGAAACGCAGCGATATTTGTGCCACGAGTGTCGGTTTAATAACCAGCCATTGGCCTGGTGGGTCTCCTGTCCACGCCTCTCCACGGTCCAAGCGAAAATGCAGCCCTGTCATAGCGGAGGAGGAGGAGGAGGAGGAGGAGCCGGTGGCACACCACCACCGCCACCCGCCCTGCCCAGATTTCCCAGCAAGCGGCATTGTGACAATTTTGGCAGCTACGCCACATTGCCCACCATTGAGCAGCAGTCACAACCAATGCCCCACTGCAGTCGACACGGAGTCCTGGGCGGTGGTTCCGGCGTAATGCCAGTTCCGCCGCCGCCCCGCTACGCCAATCCCAATTTGAATGGCTGCTGTTACATGTACAATCCCGTGACCACCGCCCATCAGAGTCACCTCCAGCCGCCCCAGCACCACCACCAGCTCCAGCACCAGCACCAGCACCATCCCACCCATCAGTATGCCCCGCAGTATTGCCTCTGCGATAATTGGTACCATCAGCCGCAGCAGCAACAGCAGCAGCAGCAGCACCTCCAACAAAGGAGCAAGCCTCTGGTGGCCAACGGTGGCTGCTATTTTGGTAAGTACTTACACTCTCCGGAAAGCACAGAAACTTAAAAGGAAGCAGCCATAAATTAAGGTCTAATTGAAAAAAAAAATCGAGTGCATAAGGAGCCTTCTTTAGTGGCGAATTTATTTGGTCAATTTGCAGGAAAATATTTTTGGAAAATGTGATAAAAGGAGATACTTTGCAAAGAGGAATTTTTAAAGAGGTTTACTGGGACTTTAAGTTGTTGAAATCCAATATTTTCTATTATAGGAAATAAATATATTTTCCACAAACAAGAATTTCCCCACTTTATAGAAAACACATTTTCCCAGAAAGAGTTTTCATGAAATTCCAACCCAAATACTAATTGACTAATAAAAATCACAAGCCTATTTGTTTTTTGTGTACCATGATGAGCCAGGCAGGCAGCCAGCCAGGCAGGCAATTGGGTCCATCATTTAATCAGCTCGCAATTGTTTTTAGGCTACGAGTCCCACCAGAACCCTCCGCACACTATAGCCCATCCCAGCCACATAACGGACGAGGAGGACTCGGCGTTTCCAGGACTGCCCGATCGGGAGTTCCATTTGCTGCATCGGAATATACCCGCCTTGCGACGCACTGGAGTGGACACGACACGCATTAGACAGGTGAGATATGTAGCCACCTGCCCCCTGCCACACCCCCCCTTGTATTTTTAGTGTGCCTGTCAAACTGTAATTGCCTCCGTCCTTTGTACTTGCAGTACTTTTATCCCGACGGCGGCTGGGGCTGGATCATTTGCGGTGTGTCCTTTCTGGTCCACATCCTGACCACCGGATTGCAGCTGAGCTATGGCCTTTTGTTGTTCTATGCCGTCCAGTATTTGCATAATACCAGTGGCGTAGGTAAGTCACAGGGAGAGGGGGCTGAGAGCATCCTTAATCGGAATCATAGTCCTGGGGCCTTTTCTTGTTTCCTACGGCAGTTATCTCTCTCGAGTAATCAAAATGTTTGCTGGCAAATGCAAATATTTTAAATAATTCCCCATGTTGTTTGTAGGTGTGGACTTTTGCATAAATTTTCGCATCTGCACTTGACATCATTTTTAGGGGGGAGAAAAGTGTCAAAAACGTTGTGTGTTTGTGTGTGGAGTTAACCATAAATCGCAAAGTGTTAATATTGTTTTGTATTTTATGTGGACTCCTGGTGTTTTGCATATTTTTCATAAATGTAATTATTAGTTCGTTTTGTGGTGCAAAGTATATTTGATATATTGAAACATTTAACAGGAATATAAATTACACAAAAGGTGAATGTGTAAATATAGGTTTAAATATTGTAATAATAAATCACATAGGTTTTTAACACTTCACATATAAAAACAGGTGTAAAATATATTGTCATGTTAATTGTGGGTCACTGGAATCGAGCAATTGATGAAATTGTACTGCAAATGTCAAATTTAAAGCCTCGTTTTTGCCTAGAACAACAACAACAAAACTGTTGTACAACGACCACGTCTTAACAACAAGAATAGTTCGATTAATAGCCGCCAGGTGGCCTCTAAAAAGTACGCATCATAACGACTTTCTCAAATATTACGTATACGCACTGGTGTAATTAAGATTTTGATTATTCCTATAACTACTCATTATTTATTTTTGTATTTCTGGCTGATTGGCTGACTTATCAGCCGTCAGCTCCGCTTTCCGCTGCCAATGTGCGAGCGGCCTTATAGCAGAAATCCAAAATATTACGTATACGCACTGGTGTAATTAGTATTTTAATTATTTATTTAACTATTCCCTATTTATTATTCTATATCTAGCTCGTTTAAAATAAGTTCCTTTTTATATATTTCGTAAAAACCAATTGATAAACTCTAAAGTTTTTATAACTTGTTTAAATGATTGATCCCTTGAGGTGGTAACCTGTGTGACTTAAACACATTGTTAAAACCTCATAAAAACCGTTTAAGTGAAGTTCTCAAATTCCTGGCTGTCAATTTTGGGTAAAAGGAAACATTTTAAAATATTACCACCCAGGACGCAACCCCCCTTAAAATGTGTTAATACCCATACAAAACACCTCGTGCCGCGTGACCTTCGTCAAGTTGACTTTAAAATATTATCACTCTAAGAGAGCTTAACTTTCATTCGTTTTGCAGAACTGCTGGGCGCCTTGAGCTGGTCAGTCTCCATGGTGGCCACATCGTTTGTGGTGTCGCTGTGTCGCAAACGCTCCATCCGCCTCCTGTCCATCGTCGGGGGATTGGTGATGCCTTTGGGCATTCTGTTCACCTCATTTGCCACCGAGTTTGGCCAGGTTGTTTTCAGTTACGGTACGTATATACACGGGTGTATATATATATATAAATAAATAACCTGACAGATGGCAGAATGCGGCACGTTGCCGGAAGTTGCTTATCATTTGCAAGCAAAAAAAACACTGAGAAATGTGTCGTAGGAGACTTTAAAAAAATTGAGAACTTAGAGAATTAAATCTAGATATTTCCCTTTCTCCTTATTCCCTTCTATAAAAACTTAAATTAAGAAAAAGAATTAAAACCCTAATTACAAAAATACATAATCTTGTTTTTTACCAATTCGAAATTGTCCAGAAATAAATGAAAATTTCCAGGCTACAAAAAATGTTCATTATGAGAATACAACACTAATTAAATGGATGCCCAAATACCGTCTCAGAGCTCGCGGAAAGAAATCATAAATTTAATTACTGGAAAATAAAAATTCCTTCGCTTTCCCTCAATGTACATACTAAAAAATATATATAAATATAAAAAAAAACTCACCCGCAGGCATCGTCTTCGGTGTTGGGGTCGCCATGGTGCGGGAGGCATCCACCGTGATGCTGGGCAATTACTTTAAGCGGCGCCGTCAATTCGTCGAAATGGTGGCCATGTCCGGCGAGGGTGTTGGCATCGCTTTGTTCTCCGTCATCCTGAAGGAGGGCGTGGGCAAGGCCGGCTGGCGCCTGGGCCTTCAGATCGTCGCTGCCCTGACGGCACTCAGCTTCTTCATGGGCCTAATGTACCGGCCCGCCTCCTTGTACCATCCCCAGCGACGGGCCATTCAGCATCTGAAAAATCAACGCAAGAAGGTAAATTTTACAGGAAATTACATAAAGTTTTTTAGGCAACCAACTTGGTTTTTTTTGTTAGATGCGCGAGAAGAAGCCGATTCTCAGCCAGGATGTGGAGATCAGCTCCCCAAGATATTTATTTTTGGACATATCATCACTGAAGTCGGTGACTGTTAAAATCTTACTCATGACCTCCAGCGTGGCCTCCTTTGGCATCTATACGCCCATGTTCCTAATGGTAAGTGCTTTTAGCCATATTAATTTATCTTAATCATTGTTTGGGGCTTGAATTATGGAGGGTTTTTGGGATTTTTAAAAGCATTTTTATAGTAGAAAAATGAGATTTTGATTAAGACAAATATTGGAGGAATATTTAATTAGGAGAGTGCTGGGTCTATCCAAATATTTTTTCTATATTTTAATAAGCAATCAGAGCTTGCTAGGGGGGTACTTCTTACCCCTGAAAATGGGAATCAAAAGAACCTTTACTTTGTTAATTTTTAGTATAATTTATATAGATTCTCCTAGTATTTAAATTTAATTTAAAATCTCTTTAAAAACAGGCCCTCAATGCCGCCGAGCAGGGCTCCGATGTCCAAGAACTGGTGCTCCTGCAAACATTCCTGGGCATTTCCATGGCCTTGGGTGTGGTCATAGCTGGTGCCTTGCTGCGGCGTTGCTTTGTGATTAGGCACTTTGTGATCAATACGAAAATAGTCACTCAGGTAAATAAAAAAATTAAAAACAAAAATCTAAAAAATACGAATAAAATCCCTCCTTTAAATTCCTAGATCTTCATATCAATTGTGGCCTTGGCTATCCTCTTTCTATCCTTTGTCATGGGCTATACGGGCCTGTGCATACTGAGCTGGCTATATGGCATTGGCCTGGGCGGGTTTCAATATTCATTGAAAATTCTGGCACTAGAACGCATCAAGCTGAAACACTTTTCCAAGGCCTGGGGTGAGTTTTTCCCGTTGAGCATATTGATTTTCTCTGGCTTCATTTCCTCTCTGAATTTTTTTCGAAGGTTTCATACGGGGTGTCGAATCAGTTCCTGTGCTGATAAGCGTTCCACTCACCTCGTTTCTGAATGATTACTCGCTCAAGTATGGCCGGGCGGGCTATTATATATGCTCGGCGGCAGCAGCCATTTCGGGCATCATTATTTTCTTTATAAGTGAACCGCAACAGCAGCAGCAGCATTCGCAGCAGCACCAGGATCAGGGGCATCATCATTACCCACACCGGAATGGTCATCTGCCGACTCCCTTGCTGGTGCGCCACTCCTCTGCCCGGCAGCATCGCACGCATCTACCGCTGGACTATGGCTATGGGGAGTATCCGGCACCAGATCTCCTCAGTCGCAGCTGCATTAGTCTCAATCAAATGGAGCCATATCTCCAGCAGACCAGCTATTGCCAGCGCCACATGATGCAGCAGCAGCAGCAACAGCAACATCAACAGCAGCAGCAGCATTCCCACCTCCAGCAGTTGGCCTGTCACAATCTCGATCAGGTAACTAATACTATTTTGCTTTTAAAATGTTTCAGGTAAGGTTTTTTCTTTTTCCACAATTTATCTTCTTTTCTCTGGATTGAGGATTCTCAGTTGAGCGCTTCTTATTGCGCTCTGTTGAGCCACCGCACTTTCAAAGTCAATAAAATCGATTAAAAAGTATTTGCTCTGGGGTTCAATTGAGTGTTCTGTCTTTTTAAAGCTCTAGACCTTAAATAAACTCTAAAAAATAAATATAAAGATACAAAGAATTAGGGAAGCTCTTCAAAAACTCCCCCAAATAATCCCAATTACCTTTTTGTTGCAGGTCCGCGAAGCCTACCAGCTGGGACAGGGTAGCATTGGCGCCAGGATGGGCAAGCGGCTACAGCGGAGCCTGTCCTTCATCCAGCAGCACAGCAACTGCTGCGACGGGCAGATGTACTGCAGCTGGCACAGCACCTACGAGCTGGGCTGTCACAAGAGCAACAAGTGAGTACACACCTCGGTGAATGCTCAGTGAACCTTTGCTCTCCCTTCTCAAATGTAATTGAATGGCAAATCAAAGTTCAGCTTTGAAATGTTCCGGCGCGTAGAGTTCAATCTCGGAAGAGACAGCTTACAGCGAGCTAAATAGGGGGGAAGCAAAAATCAAAAGGGATTACAAAGAGAGAAATGTTAAAATGATAGCAACAATATATTTTCAATAGGTATTTGGCAGGGGTTTATGGTGATGGTGTTGATTTATTTACCTTTAATTTCTTTTTAAATCTTATCAAGCATTTATTGCAGACAATTTGTGTATTGCCATGGCAGCGACAATTTCCATTAAGCAGACAATTATCAGAAATTAATACTTTAAAGAACAGAAGAAAAATGAATTTAAGCAATTATAAAAATGAATTAATTAACTAATAAATAATGTGTCGATATTTAAAGCACAAGCTGCTTATGAATACATATTTACCTTTGCGATATATAAGCTATGAATCGATATACTCTTAGATATATCGAAACTGTGCCCAAAAAGACAAAAAAACGTAGTTTAAACTGTTGTTCCTGGAAATAAATAAGAAAAGAATAAGGAAATAAATTGAATTGAATATTTTTTTAATGAATATTTACATTTTAATGTCTAAAATTGTAATACATATATCAAACTTTGGTATATTATTGCACTATTTATCGATAATATCGATATTTTAACGTTTAATTCAATATTTTTACAAAATGCATCATTTTCGATTTGATATCGGTGCGATATTATTTTAAATATATCATATCATACTTTTCTGCTCGATAAACAATCCCTTCCCAGTGGTTTCTCGATTATAGGTCAGCCATAAGTGTAGTCGAATCAAAAACCAATTACAGGATTTCCCGCCAAGCAAAACAATCGGCGGCAATCAGCCGAGAAGCCCCAGAAGAAAGACAATCAATTTAGCGATGGCCTCCGCCGCCATCTTCTGGCATTCGTTTGTTCATGCAGGCCGCAATTTTGCCATTTCGCCACTTTGCCACTTTGGCATTTTAGCATTCTGCCATTTTGCCCAGCATTTCGCCACCGATGACACTTTTCCGCTGCCTAAACCTTGGAAAATTGACTTGCCATTGCAGGAGCCCCCACCAGGAGCAGCAGCAGCAAACGGACAGACAGCCATTGATATGCACCTGCAGCAGTCCGAATGGCCAGCAACATTCCCACTCCACTGGCTATGGACTACCCGCCGCCAGCTCCGCCCGCAGTCGCAGTGTTCCGGAGGGATTGTCCACCATGTCGCAGCAGTGTAACTGCCGGCACGGCCCGGTTGGGGGCGGACACGCGGGACCCACGCGGGAGTTCATCTACGTGCCGCATGCCTACGCCTCCCTGCAAAGGACACCGCATCGGCACAGCCAGGGGGCAGGCACGGGCACGAGTGCGGGTGCCGGAGCCGCTCCTGGTGCCTCCTGTTCGGCATTGCGAAACAATCCTCAATGCCGACTGAAGCGCTCACAATCGCTGTGCCGACCCACAGCCGTGCAGTTCGTTGAGCAAATCACCACGTCCGTGTAAGGAAAAGCCTGCGGAAAAGAATGGGGGGCACTTGGGGAAAAATCTATCTGAAATCTAGCAGAATTTTAGATGAATTTGATTTTTTATTAAAGTTTGTTACGTAGTGAAGGAGTCATTTCCGACCCTATAAATCATATATATTCTTGATCAGAATAAAAATCTGAGTTGATCTAGCCATGTTTAGCAGAAAAACATTTTTTAAAATTTTTTTTTAATTTTTGAGGTCTCAAAATGGTTTAATTGTCACAGAAAAAATTAGCAAAAATTTTAATATCTTAAAACATGAAATTTAAGTAAGCAGATTTGTTTATCTGGAAAAAACTAGCACAGAAAAGCTTTCCGAATTGAATTTGATGCTTTTTTGGCTTAGTTATGATTATTTTTTATAAAAAAATTGCCATTTAAAATATATAAAAATATTCATTTAAAGACAGAGAATATTTAAGATCTTCTTGAGGGGTTTTTATGATTTTAGTCGGTGAAGGAGTCGTTTCCGACCCTATAAACCATATATATTCTTGATCAGCATTAACAGGCGCTTCTTTCTAGCTTTGTTCGGAAGAAATTTATTTTTTAGCCATTTTTGCAAAAAGATGTAAGGGGTTCATTAAAATTTGCAAAAATTGCCTAAAATTTTTATTTTTTTAAATTAAAAATTTTGTATGCAGTTTCGTTACCCTAGAAAAACCTAGCACAGAAAACCTTTCCGAATTAAAATTGATGCTTTTTTGGCTTAGTTATGAGAAATTTTTGATTGGATGAAAGATCCTATCGCAAACTGCAAGGGCATATTGTTTAAAAAAAAATCTAGCAAGAAAAAAACGATTTAACTCATTCTTAAATATATTTTCTCCTTTAATTTTTGCTAAATTTCTGGCATATTTTTCTCCAAAGGGGAAAGGCAAACAGAACAAAGAAAATCGAAGCCCCCACGCAACAATTGGGTCCTATAAAACTTATATTTTGGCATTATGGTCCAACCCACATACACGCACACCCTCACTCACACTCACCCCCAGACAAACACAAACACACAAACACACACACGACTACGTGAATCGCATGCAGAATTTGTCAGATCTCTTCTAGTCCTCTTTGTCGTAGCTCTACTTAGAAATGTAAACTTAAAACGAAAGTGTAACTGAAATCCCACAACAACAAAGAAACGAAACAAAACTCGATGAATTTTTCACACAGAAATCCCCACTACGAGGATCAAATTTTTACTCATTAGCATTTATATATATGGTAATATATATATATTATAGGAATAGCAGACAGACGCAAAAGCTTTATCTGAGTATTCAAATGATGGCCAATACATAAATATTTATGAGATAATTCAATCGAGGGCAGAAAAACTTCTTAAATGGTCCATTTTATATACGAGAACGTGCATACACTTTAACCACCGAATACCGAATACCGAATACCGATTACCGATTACCGAAAGACGCAGATGTGTGTATATATATATGCAGATGAAGTCGATCCAATTATAGGACTCGTCCCCGAGGGCAAGGCTGAGTACATTGAGCTGTAGCTGGGGCCATCGCTGATAGTCCTGTCGGCGCAGTACTTTATTTTTCAATAACAATTATATATTGCATAATTAAGAGGCGTTTAACGGAAAATGGAAATTACTTTTGCGACCGAGAGCCTTATTTTTCAATCGAAATGAAGCATATGAAATAATAATGATTACCGATATGATAGCCCCATAATTAATTGATGCTGGCAGCTCAATTATCGCAGGGGAAGTGGTCAGCATTGAATGTGTAATCCCCAAATGAAATACTAATAAAAAAAATACAGACTCAAAATAACAAAAAAGAGAGAGCCAATTTGTAAATCATTAGGAATTCATAACAAAGAGATATGGCAGAAATCGTGTGCGAATTCCGAAACAGACTCAGCTGCATAATCAGCTCAAATAACGAAACCCATACTAAAACTAAAGAAGATTTAATAAAAAGCACGGGCCAGGTGGCAAAATAAACCGAATAAATAAAATATTTGCAAAAATAAACAAGAAAATAAATACAGGAAAAGTTATCGGTGAGTAAAAAAGCAAGGATAAAGTGAATATTTAAAACAAACTAGTTAAATGGCCAATTTCAGAGTAAACAAAAGGCAAAATTAAAACAGTATGTTAAAGGAAAAAACCAAAAACTCTAATGGAAACCGGAAAACCAATTCATATAAAAATTTGCAAACGAATGAAAAGAAAATACAAATTTATATAAAATTTCACCATCGATTGGAAAAGCAGCAAAAACCTCTCTCCTTTGTGTATATACAAAATAAATAATCTAAAAAATAATATGGACTCGAGAAGAAAGCCAACAACTGCCATAAATGCAATAAAGAAAACCAATTTACATATATTTATATTTATACTTAAAGGCATCTATAAAAATTCTTCTTTAGACAAATTTCTTTACTCCTTTTTCACGGTCATTAAAATAAATTAGACACACACACACACTCTCCTTTCTCTTTTCGCCAATTGTGTTCAGCGAAAAACAAAAAAGAATCGTAGCATAAAATAATATTAACCCCAAAAAACAAGCATATCTATGTGCCAAATAAAAAAACATTAACTATTTGAAACTAACAAACTTAAGGTACAACTTGTAGCTAAAACAATTTTTATCTGTTTCGGGGGGACTTTAGATACGTGAAATTTTTTCAGAGAAAAAACAAAAGCAACCTAAGGCAAAACTCATATTTGTAACTCTTTATCATTAGTAGTTTAGTGTGATAAATGTTAATAAAGAAACCATAAACGAGACAAACTTCCTCTTCCCTCCCCCTGGCCTTTCAATTCAATTCAATTTGTGTCTTAAACCGGAAAACCCTTTTTGGCCAGCCGCAAAGTGTCCTGGGTTAAGCCGAAACGGGATAAATAATAAAACTTTGCATTTATTACGTGATAAAATTTAATAAACAGGTTCAACGACAGTGTGAATGTCATATTTCATTTATTAATTAATGGCATTAACATAAAGCGTCAATTTGTGTGTCTCCCACACGGATCCGCAATCCCCGAAACCCCGAAACCCATCCATAAAAGAAGAGCCAGCTCCACTCTAAAGCCGGGGCGATTAAAAAGTTTATCCTAGGCAAAGTCAAGACCGCTCTTAATGTTGCATATATTGTGTGCACATAACCCCGGGCTACCCCATTACGGAACGTGCCTAGACTGTAAACAGTCGCCCTGGGAGTGAATCCGTAGACACACGACGGCATATATAACACACACAACCAACACACAGCGCACAACAATTCCGCAGAGCGTCAATGACATGCTCAATTTTTCATGCATTATGCCGGGGCCTACGGTGCGTATGCTTGATATTTGCCTCAATATCGAGGCCGAAAGCACATTTAAGCCGCCGAAGCAGAAGCCAAAGCTGATGCCGATGCTGAATCAGAATATTTGCGTAGCCAGGGCACAGCCAGGGCGAGAAACTTTACAGCCAGTCCGTTCGCACAGACGAGCCCATGGCCGAAAAGCCATAAGACAATTTGCTGCTAGCTTACATTCTGGCACTGAGAGAAATAATGTAGTGAAAAGGGTAAGTAAATCTAGAAATAAAATTAAAATTAATAAAATTTGCGGTTGTCTAAGGATTAATATAGAATATTTAAAGGGTTCTTATAGAACATTTTTAATTGAATTAATTCCTAGGTGTTTAAAAAAATTATATAATTATTTTATAAAATTATATAAAAATTATATAAAATTATATAAATTTTCTAAATTGAATTTAACACATTTTTGGCTTGGTTAGGCATTTTTAAAATTTCGTTTTTCCCCAAAAATTATTAGTTAAGGGTTTTTTAAGTTTTGTTCATTTCAAAAAATTATATAAATTAATTTTTTCTTAATTGCATTCTTTCCTGTATAATTCCTAGGTGTTTCTAAAATTTTAATAAATATTTTATATAAAATATATACATATATTTTTCCCCAAGTGTCCCCAAAACTCATACATATACACTAGATACACACACCCGATGGCGTTGGTTTATCTTGGGGATATATAGTACGCTCGTGCCAGGGATGATTTCGTTGCTATTTCGGCTGTCGGAATTGTGGGCTTTGAGCAAACACCGAGCAACGGAAACTATCGTCGTCTATATTGAGGAAATGGTTAAAGGCAGCAGCTCGGTGGTCTGGCATTTTGGGTTACATAACTGATTAAAGATTGGCCTGGCTTATGGGGGATATACTGTAGATGTGGCAAGAGATTGGGCCCAGGGCTAACCTCTCGTGTCAACTTGTTGACTAAGCAAAGTTGGCCCCACACAATATGAGTTATGATTTACTCAGCTCTTAAAACAGGCAAGAAGACAATGATGGGGGGAAATTGCCTTTCAACGCCTTTTATTTGGACAGGAAAAAGAAAGACAAATATATATATACAAATAGATACTTGGCTGTCATCTATCATGGGTATTGATCAGCATTAATTAGTTTCGAAGTCAAAATGAAGTTGGATTAGGCATTTAGGTGATTTAATCAATGGAAATTTATTCGAAATAAAATAATAAAATATAGATTAAATGTTAAAGATACTATTTAAAATTTGTAATATAATTTAAATATTTCCTTAATACTTTTCTTAACAAATCAAATCAATTAAGAGTATTCAAACCCCTCTTAAATCCTTAATAAAAATACCTTTTGCAAGGCATCCCCATTTTTAATGAACAAAACTCTGATTTCCACCACAAGTTAAAGATTATCACGGCCCTTAAGAACCGCAATAACAAATCCCTACTTGGACATTTCATCAGCCAACAAAATGAATCTTCAAACGTTTTATATGCGTCCTAATGCCATAAAGCAGGCCAAAATTCGTGGTTTTGGCCATTCTGTAACTGTTGTAATTTTGTTATGACCACCAGCAGTCTCTCTGTTGGCCCCCTCCTAATTCCCACAATTCCGTCCCCCCTGAAAGTATGCCATAGGAAATTTCAGAGTAATTTAGTTGAAATGCTGCAATGGCAGCGCTTCGGCTTCCGTCTGGGCTTTGTTCTTTCATTTTGTGTGGCAGATATCTCAAGCAAATTAACCTAACTACTCTTAATGCCGGTCGACTACACAGCCACGCTTTCCCATTTCCCATTTCCCATTTCCCTCTTCCCAACGCACACACTCACACAAAACCCAATTAAATTCTTCCGCAAAAGCATAAAAGCTTCGTTGCTTCGATTAAAGCTAGCCCCAGGATGATAAGTGGAGGGGTTACACCTAGGAAAAATATAGAGCTCTATGGGGAATTGTTTAAGGGGGCTATCAGGGTTTTGTGTTTAGAGAGTCTTGTGAAATATTATAGAGAGGGAGTTTATCTGTGGGATTTATTAGGAGACTAAAGTAGGGGACTGACATTTGAACTTATTTAGAAATTGTAAAAGGCTGATATTTACAAAAAATATTTATAATAGTTAGAATATAATAAACTTGGCTTTAACTTTAAATTAAAAAAAAACACCCAATGGTTAAGTCAAAATAAAATTGTGGGGCTTAAAGTAGTACGTTTTTTTCTATGTTAACTATGGTAAGTGTAAATTATTTAAATTTTAATATACTACATTTTTTGTATAAAATAAGACATAGTTAAAGAAAAGCACAGATAATTTTATGCTGTTACTTTTATATTTTAAAATGAAGAAGAAAATTATTTAATTTTATAGTTTTAAAACAAATCTTTTAAATAATTACGGTTTTCAGCCTGGTTCCACCAAGTTTAAACCTTGTTTTGCATATTTGTATTCCTAAATCTAAGATAAATAGTCTAAATAGTCTTTCATCAGAAAAACCTTAATATATAAAGTTATTATGTTTTGTATTTTATTTTATTTCCCATTTTCTACTGTGCATGTTTTGGTTAGACATGTTTTTGCTTAAAGCCAGACATGGAAGCCGTGTGAAGTCAACTTTTGTGGACGCCTCGAACGCGTTCTAAGTGAAATTTAGCCGCTGGCTACGTGATGATGCTTCTGCTCCTGCTGCTGCTGCTGCTGCTGCTACCGATGCTGCTGCTCCTGCTCCCGCTGCTTGATGTTGCTGCATGGGTCCCTAGCATGTCCTGGCCAACTGTCTGCCTTGTTGACATACGTCCTGCTGCCTCTGCCTCTGCCTGCTGCCTGCTGCCTCCTGTCATGCGCAAGGAACGCACGCTCTGATGCCTACTTCCAGGCGTTTCATTGTTGCGCTTTTCGCAGCCACAGCTTCCACAGGACACAGGACAGATGCCAAACATCTGTTTTATGTTTGTCTCGCTTCCAGGGAAACTCTCTTAAAATAATTTTTGGGGGAAAACTAAGCTTGCCCGCTCGCTGCGCTCTCTTTTTCTCTCTCTCTCAGTGTGCGTGGGAAAATGCGAACTCACTCGGTTTCTCAGTTTCTCAGCTTCAGTTCCAGCATCAGCGCCAGCGAGTGAGGAGCGACTGCTTTGGAGACCGGAAAAATCCGTGAAAAACTGTCGGGGTTATTCAAGCCACGCAGAGCACACACACACACGCATACGCACACTCGAGTCCTGGCAAAAACCCAGCGAAAAGCAGCCAACACAGCGGAATTTTAAAGAACAATTAACCCAGGACGACAGCTCTCTCCGAGAAAAACAAAACGCTGAAATTATTGAAATAAAAAGGAAACGCCAGCTATGGGGAAAAAGCGAGGACACTGCGTTTTTCCAACTGCTCTGGCTTTGGGCTTTTTCCGTCGTTTTTTGGCCAACGCGAATATCGATTGCTGCTGCTGCTGCTGACTGCCTTGCATAAGTCCAAAAAAGGGAGATTAGTATACAAACGCAGTCTGGAGGAGCGGAGCCAGGTGCCAGGACGCAGGACGAAAGCTCAAAGGCTCAATTCAAATGACATCGAACTCGAACTCGCACTCGTAGTAATTAAGTTTTTTTAATCAACAAATAACTGGTGGAGCCGAAATGGAGATGGAGCAGCTGCCTAGCCCAGACAATTGACGTGGAAATCGGAGCAAGGAACTACAAGGAGCTAACTACAAAGGAAACAAGGCTCCCTGGATATATATATATATATATGTGTATATAAATTGAATTCCGAGGAATATCCGTGAACTATTCTAGACCTACGCGCGTGTGTGTGTGCTTTCATTTTCCATTTTCATTTCCTTTGTTGCTGGGTGAAAATGGATATTGCCTTGCGCGGCACAAACATAGCAGCAGCAGCAGGAGCATCATCATCAACAACAACAACAACGACTGGAACTGGCACTGGTAAGTCCTTGGAGGGTCCTACGAGTCGTCCTCCTCCGATTCCCACGGTAATCACATCTTTTATGTGCGCTGTGTTTTATTCTCGCCAAAGTGAAACAAGCAAACATTTCATTTGCAGGTCTGCATCATGCTGTGTCATTGGGCAACATTGAGGTCTCCGCCAAGGTTCGTACCAGCATCAAACCATCTCAGACATTAACAGGGAAAACTCACAAAGAAAACTCACAAGAAAACTCACAGGAAAACACCACAAAGTGTGCGGCGAACAAAAATTAATTCCTGCCAACGCAGAAAGCGCGTCCAGGGAAGCATTTAAGTGGCGTCCCTGTCATACCGAATGATTGACACAATTATTTTAGTATAAATCTGGAGGATAGGGCAATGGGGGCTGGAGGCAGCCCGGACAGGGCTCAGCATGGGAGTGACTGGAGAAATTAGAAGAGCTTAAGATAGGGCTACGAGGAGCTACAGAAAGAAATTGAGGGATTAAATAAGATTAGCGGGGCTGGGAAGGTATAGAAGGATAGAGAGAGGTAATAAAACTATTTCAACAGTGGGAGATAAAATATATCTCTTGCTTGAAATATATAGTACTTATTCAGTAAATATTAGGAATATTAAGGCGTTTGGGTAATATTAGGAAAATGAGTTATAGTAAGGCGTATATGTAATATGTAAAAGTGTTATACCAAGACGTATACGTAATATATATATAATTACATTTATAATAAAACCATTAAGACAGTGAGGGCTTAAATAGAAAATAGAATAGTAATTATTAAAAAAAAAAGTAGGTCGATAAGGCGTATACGTGGTATTACAACAATATTTTTATAATATGTATACGTAATTTTTTTTCTATATTTCGGGGAGCATAGTAAATAGCTAATTAATATATAAAGCTTACAAAATAAGGTATTTGTTTAGTAAAAATCAAGGTGCTTAAGGCGTATACGTAATATTGCACAAATTTCTAATAATACGTATACGCAAATTTTTTTTTATAATAATTTTATTTGGTTAAATTAATTTGAAGCTTAAAAAATACAACAGAAACATCTAATAAGCTCAAAAATACAATCAGCCATCCTACAAAATAGTAAACTTGATGAAAAATTTTTTTTACTAATCTAAAATCTATAAAAAATATCCTTCTATAAAAAGCTTATAATATTTTTTACCACTCAGGCCACATACTCCAGCCACATGGACCGCAGCTACGACTCCGAGGACGAGCACACTGGTCGCCGCAGACTACGCCACACTCTCTCCACCGAGCTACAGCCTCGCACTTCTGTCTACTCCAGGGGAGATATTAGGGAACAGGTGAGACTATAGCCTAAATAGAAACTATATATTTATTATTTTTAATATTCATCAACTATTTTACTTGCAGTACTGCCTCACAGATCGCCAGCTGCATAGCATAGAGCAGCGTCCCAGGAGGGAGCGTTTTTTTGGCTGCCTTTCGCGACGCGGTCAAACCCAATCGGGCAGCTTCCTGGGCGGCTGTGTGGGTCGCCGAGTGCCCTCCGATGAGAATCTGGCGGCCTATGCACCCTTTGAGAAGTATCCACGGTGAGTATAAAATTCGCTAGTGTAAAGTACAAGTTATTTAGTATCGAAAAAACTGCCACAGCTATCAAAACAACTACACGGACACACAAGAATTGGAAAGTTCCTATTTTCGCCGTCAGCCGGCATCGATTTTGAGCACTGGAAAATCGGTTGAGGCGGACCTGGGTGGTCGCTACACCTGGATTGGTCAGCAGACGAACAACAACTCCGATTACTCAACGGACCACAGGTATGTCCGACACAGAAAAGATATCTATAAAAAAAAAACCTGAAAAACCAAAATTAAAAACTCCGTAAAATGCTATGCCAACTGTCGCTTAGATCATGCTATACTGTCGCACTTTCTGTCGCATTTGTAGACTGTCGCTACCCTTTTCTTCCGATATAAATATATATATATAAACTGCAAAGCTTGCCTGAACTTTCCCACCCAACAAAAAACACTCATTGCATTATGCCGCTTCTTGCCTACTGATGAACTCTACTTGAACTACTCGAAAAAAGCCACCTAGAAATGTATAAAAAATACTCTTTTCGTTATTCATCCGCCTGTCCTACTTCTCTCCTCAAAACGACTGTAAAAATCAACCAAAACAATTAACAATTGATATTGCAAAAAAAAAAACCCTAACCAACCCAAAAATTAAATGAAAAATCAAATAAAAAATATGTGTAAAGGGCAACTTGTTGTACAGCACCACTTGAATCCTTTTACCAGGATGTTTTGCTACGGAATTATTATGTCGAGCTTCGCGCTCCACCAAATCCTACACCACCAACATCACACACCAATCAAATCGCTAATCTAAATGTTTGGTATGTAAAGTGATCTTAAAAACAAAAAAACTAACTAAAAATATAAACTTTAAATAATCTATAAATATAAATGCTAAATCAAGGAACGATTCTATTAAAAAAAAAAACAGTGAGCTAATCGAACAATGTTTTTATTTATGTTATGTGTCTGCACGTGACCGAAGCAACAATAAATCAAGAAATCAAACTTAAAGTTTCAATTAAAATTCAAGGAAATGTAATGTAATGTTTGTGTTTCTGCTGCAAGTCATTGTGGGGGAATTCCTTTAACATTCCGCTGATGTGCTTGCTCTCCACAGCTCGTATCACTGCCCCACATACGCCACGATGCCAACCACACACCACCAGCACCACCATCACCACCAGCAGCAGCAGCAACAGTCGCAGCAGGGCGGGAATGCCAGGTAAGCTTCTAGATACAATTTTCCAGAAATTTACTCAGCTTTCCCTTCCTGTCAGAACGAAACACGTGAGCTTCGCCAGGTCGCACACCCTCACCAGCTTCGACAATGTCAATGCCGGCTTTCGATCCTCGGGGCGCTTGAAGACAGCCCGCAGCCAGGAGCGTTTAATTGGTGGCAAAAAGCCCATCATAGCCACGGGCTCCATGTACGAGACCCTGCAGCCGCCGCAGCAGCAGCACCAGGTGCAGGTGCCACAGCAGAGCTCAACGCTGCCCAAGACCTGGCTGCCACCGCCGGTACAGCTGCAGCCCTGCCAGCATCATCATGCTCCGATTCACCTACACCAGCCCATGCCAGGTAAAGAAAACTACTCCTTAGTAATCTTTAAATCACTTAAAATACTTTTGCTTTTTCCTCAGATAACATGGTTGGCCTGATTATCCCGCAGCCTCTGCCCTTGACCCTCCCACTGCCCAGTCCCGAAGTGCTCATTGTGGAGAAGAAGTTCCGCAATGCCATGAAGACCCAGGCCACACAAACGGATGCCGCTGCTCGACGTAACCAGGGCCAAGTTGGCTATAATACCCAAGTTTTGGCCCTAAGTCCCCGGCCACCACATCGCATCAAGGTCGTGTCCCAGGGCGCCCAGACAAATGGCCTTCAAAATGGCAAGAAGCTAACGAAAAGTCTCTCGGAGATACCAAATGGCAAGGAAGTGCAATCACATTACTATCAACAGGGGTAAGATTTTAATATTAAATTAAAGCGAGTGGAAAGTTGAATAATTTTAGAGCTAGGTACGAGTTTTCTTAAAGAATTTTTCATTATTTTAGTTGATTTTAAATGCATATTTATTTGTGTTTCTTATTTTTCCATATTTTAAAATTTAAATGTATATTCAAGTACGATTTCTGTGCTAACCCTGACAATGTTTAAATATTTTAAAATTAATTATAAATACTTTTAAAATACTAATGTAATCTTTCCCACGCCTCTCAGTTCGATTTACCCCCACGAGATGATCTACCGCACTCAGTCGCAGGACGTGACCCCGCTGCAAACCCTCTCGGATGCCCAGAACAACATCATGTACTACAAGCCGCCGCCACCTCTGCTGGATGCCCACAGCTATGGCCTGGGCATGGAGCACCTGAGCCGCGGAGCTCGTCCTGCGGCCTCTGAGCAGAGCGTGGAGTATGTGAACGTGAATGCCGCCGCCGTGGCCCTCAACGAGAGCTTCGACTACGAGAGCAACAGTTTGCCGCGACGAGCCTGCACCTCGCATGTCCGCACGGAGACGGACTACTACTCGAACAGCCTGCCCAGGAGGCCGGAGAGCCTGCATAGCCACGACGTGTGCAAGCATATCACCGAGTGCTCCGAACTCATCACGGACAGCGTTCCCCTGGACTTTACCCAGTCGCACTTGCTGCCGCCACCCAGTGAGTACTGCAAGAATGACGACAACGAGGAGGAGTACTACGACGACGAGGACGAGGAGGATCACCCCCATGAGACGGAGAGCTACAGCTCGGAGGTCTGCCTGGAGCAGGCGGCGGCCGCTCAGAACCGTCGCATGTCCATGATACCGCAAATGATTGATTCTCCTTTCCGGCGCGATGACATCCGGCGCCAGTCCATGCCCGTCTATGGACAGACGGAGAAGCTCATCGATGGCTTTGGACCGAGGACATCGTTCCGAAGGCGCGACAAGGTCAGCTGCTTTGCCGACCAACCGCCTTCGGCACCGGCCTCAGCCTCGGCTCGGGATCAGGAGCAGGAGATCTTCATAGACTTCAAGCCGCATGTCTCCCCCAAGCCGAGCCTCAAGCTGCAGCTGAAGCACCGCAAGCAGCACAAGGCGGAGATAGCCATGAGGAAGATGCAGCAGCAAAGAATGGCCCAGGCGGCGGCCCTGACCCTGCCGAAGCTCAAGCCACCGCCGCAGCCGCAGCCACTGCCAGTCGAAGTTGAGGTTAGAAAAGTTGAACTTGAGCCCAGCGACGACGAGGAGGAGGAGGAGGAGGATGAGGAGGAGGAAGTCTCCGAGCCTGAAAGGAAGTATCCAGACGAAGAGGAGATCGACGACAAGCTGGACCTGGATCATCCGGAGGATGAGGAGCCGCTCTACGAAAACATAACTCCGTGCAACTGCAAAGTGGAGCCACAGCATCCAGAACTCGAGGATCTGCAGGACAAGCGCTCCCAGTTCCGCAAGCGTTCCGTTAGCCTGGACGATGACGATGCTACCGGAGCTCCTCCTCCATCTGCGTCCGGCCTGCGCCTGCCCTCCACGCCGGCCAGTCCCTGCCGGGAGGATCTGCTGCTGGCCAATGTCTCAACTTATCCATCCTCAGACTCGCTGGCCAATGACAATACCCGCGACCATTCCGACGGCATCTGGAATGAGTCGCAGGTTACTGTCTTGACGGCCGAGCAGCGCGACATCTCCGATGGCTCCTACAGCTCCAACCTATTGCTGACGCCGTCCTCGAAGCGGAAGAATCTGCTGCTGCAGCATCAGCAGAGGAGCTCCGTGGACACCGATGCCTTGGATTTCGAAGAGCAGGTGAGGCTAGTGGTAAATTTCTTGATTTTTTGATTCTGATCTGATTGATCTCTCTCCTGGTTAGAGTCCCACCTATGGCCTACAAACACTGCCGAAGATTGTGAGGACGCCCACGCCCACCACCTCGCGGCCCGCCTCCACTCAACCCTTGATACCGCCGCCAGCTATAGCTGTCACTCCCTCCTCCAACCAGATCAAGGCTGTCCTGGACTCCACCATAAGCTCGCCCCTGCCCAAGCGAAGCCTGGTGGCCAGAGGCTCAGTTCCAGATGCCCGACAGCTGATGTTTATGGGAGGAGCTGCCAAGCAAAGGTTGTTATCTGAAGCTTAGAAAGTTTATATTTATAGTTCCTATACTTCCAGACACTCGGATGCCTCTTTCCTGCCCACCACTGCGGGCGGTGGTACCCGCAGTGCCGACATCTCGGAGTGCAGCACAAATACAGATGAGTATGCCACCTGCACGGACACCTCGAAACGTACACCAGGTATTAAGACACCACCGACGACGACCAGTTCCTCGTCGACCACACATGTTCCAGGTTTGGGGTTCCCCGATAATTCGTACTGTGTGTACTGTGTGTGTGTGTGTGTGTAGAAATCGCCTCGATCCATGAACCACTCACCACTTTCCATGCTTACAGCTGAGATAGAGTTAAGCCGCCGCCCATATAGCTTCTAGTTCGTAGACTCATCTACACATCCTCCACACCTCAGTCTCTTTCTAACTCTCGCTACCTGTCTCTCTCTCTCTCTCCTTAGTTTAATGTTGTTGCCTTGCTCGCCAATGCTTTAGCTGTGCCTTTAGAGGCATCCTTAAAAGTACAACTAACCGAGTCTTAACCCTTCTAACTCCTTGACAGTTTCCACGCAGAGCTCGCAGCTGGAGAAAACGCATGCCGGCAGCTCCTTCGAGAGTGCCAGCTCCCTGTACTCCATGCGGGAGGATCTCCTGCAGCACGATGAAAAGGAGAGGCAAGCCAAGTCGCAACTTAAATCCCCAATTGGCGGTTCGGTGGCAGAGTTGACTAGGAAATCGCCCTCGCACTCCATCAGCAGCACCACTTCTTCGGGCAGTTGTCCTATCTCGGGTGCTGCCATCAAGTCGCCAGGCAAGGAGAGCCAACCCCAGACGGTGTCCAGCTCGATGACGCCTCAAATGAAGGTCAGCACAGCGGAAAGTGTACCCGTTCTCAAGCCCAAACCCGATTCCATCTCCGAGGATGAGCGCAGCGAGGTGCGGTACTCCTCATCGGGCTATTACGAGAGTCCCCACGACGAGGACGACGAGGAGCAGGTGATGCGAAGCAAGGCGCGACGACTGCGCCATGAAGATGAGCGAAAGCGGCGCAAGACCAGCATGAAGCTGGACATCGAAAAGGAGAATATGAGGGCTCTAACCAGTCCCATCAAGAAGCCAACCGCAGGAGGTGTAGGAAAAGTCCAGTCGCCAGAGCAACCCAGCAATAACAACCTGGACAATGGAAGTCCCAGCAGCCGGATGAAGCGCTTCCGACCCAAGATACGACGCCAGCTGAGGAAGAGCTCGCGCGAGGATGTCCTGGCATCGGCAGCGGCCGCAGGACGCAGGAGTCGTGCCACGCCACCGACCATTTTTGGCCTGAGCAGCGGCAGTGGAGACACGGAGCTCCTGCTAGATGCCAGCATGTCCAGTGGCGCTCTGGTAGGGACCACATCCCTGTCCACCACCACTACTGCCATGATTTCCTCTTCGCTAACACTCAAGGGTACTGTTTCGGAGACCATAGCCTCCTCCTCTTCCCCACAACCAGAGGCCACGACCATTCCGTCATCTTCAGTGGTAAAGAAACCCCATAGCTGCGCCACGCCCACAGCCCTGCTCTCGCCCAAACTGCCCACAGTGAGCAGCACCCAATCCAAGTCCACCTCGGACACGTTCCAGCTCAAGGCCAAGTCCATTGAGTCTCTGCGTTCGGTGTCGCCCGGCTCCGATTCGGTGTTTTACAGCGAGGCCGATGGCAATGCGGCCAGTGCCGCCGATCAGAGTCACTGCCTCCACTGCGGCAAGGAAATGGAGGGTGGCAAGCAGCCGAGCCACCAGAACACCATCAGCGAGTTGGCTGGAGATTCTGTGGAATCGATTCCCTACATCGAGCAGGACATTGTCAAGCCGCCATCGGACTTTGCCGACTCGCCGGTGACCACCAAGACCACTCAGCGGCTGTACAAGAAGATGGACAAACGGTTCCGGTCGGAGGAGCGTTACCACGGCGAAAGGGGGAGGCACTACAAGACCAGGCAGGAGAATATCAGAGCCAAGGTTTGAATTAATATTTTTAAAATATTAATATAGAAAATTTATATGGAAAATTTCATTTTATAGAGCGAGGAACGCGGACGGGTTCCTAGCCTGCCCAACACCCCTGTCCTGCGTCCTGCCGGCTCCAGTCCCTGTGTCCTGCCCGATATCAATACGGAACAGAGCCAGCACATCATCTACAAGGGACACTACGACGCTGGTCGCTATACAAGGCTCACCGACGATGATTTGTGGACTCAGTTGGATCATCAGTGCTTTGGTGAGTAAAGGGGATGCCGAGGAGGGTATTGCGAGGGATATTAAAAGGAATATTGAAAGGGATATTGAAAGGGATATTGAAAGAAATATTGAAAGGGATTTTGAAAGGGATTTTAAAAGGGATATTGAAAGGGATATTGAAAGGGATATTGAAAGGGATATAAATCAAATATTCAAGACAATTTTGCTGAAATTATTTCAGAGGTTATTATATACTCCATAGAGCTATCTTTATTAATGGCATTTAATTCCATTGATCAGGCGCCTAAGTTCAGATAGCATGGTCTTCATTTCTTCCATTTGGCTCGTCATATCAGTCTCCATCTTATTCAACTTATATCTGTGCGCATTCCACTCCTGTCAATAGTTTAGAAATAATATTTTATTGACAAACGAAGCTTTACCTTGCACTAAACTTACGTTTAAGGGAATATAAGACTCGACCACATTCAGCACTATGAAAGCACTAAGAAGAAACACTACAAACTTGTACATTATATCAGTGAAAGACGACGTCCACTTAAGTCAAATGTTTCCAGAAAACTGATTCTGCATTGATTTGAACTAAAAGGAAAACTAAATTCTTGCTCAATTTTAATCTATGATTTTTTCTTGGAAATTTGGCCGAGACTAGGTGAGATCATACATGGATTTTATTCCCAGAAAACTTAAGGTTCTACGGAATATAAAAAGAAAAGAAAAATAAAGGTTCTACAGAATTTAAAAAGGTTATCTGGGGTGAGGTGTGCTTGAAAGTAATGAAAATAAAAAAGACAAATGCTAGAATGCGATTAAGAAAGACAATCAGTTCAAAACTATGCAACATATTTCTACAGCAAGATTATAATTAAAATGTGTATAATGTATAACATGAAGTCTACTTGGAAAGCTTTGACTTTCATATAAACTAAATAATTAATATAGGTAATTAAGAGCCCTATTCTTAGTGGAAAGTTCATTTAATTCTCTTCCTACTCGAATTTCCAATTTCTATTTAATTACTAATCAAATATATATCCCAACAGATCGTTCCCGTGAGCGTCGTGCTTCCACAGAGTCGGAAAAGGGCTTCCACGCCAAGTACCAGGTGATCCTGCATCGCCTCGTCCAGCGTCGCTGCACCCTGGAGATGTACCATCGCCAGAAGCACAACAGCTTCCGTAAGTCTAGGAGCACCCTGTTCGAACACCCGAAACAAAAATATTCTAATTTTGGCGCCCCAAAAGAGTGGAGAGATCGAGCGAGAGGAAAGCCCCAAAAAAGCCGAAGAGAGAGCCACTATAGATAATGAATGGCGCTCCCTCGGACTTTTCATGACCGGCACTTGGCATACATAAATATATACATATGTGTGTGGGGGAAAAGCGAGAAAAAAACACATAGTTTTTTATTTTTTTGGCTCTATTATCGAGAATAGTTGAGGTGCGTGCTTTGTTGTGTGCCGACCGTAAAAAAGTCCGCAACGCGCTTACCATTTCGGTGTTTCGGTTTCAGTTTCGGGGTATTTCAAGCTAAAGCCCAATGTAAAGAGAAATATAAGTGCGAAAAGCGTTGCGTTGTTTACAAATAATATTATTTTTTCGTATTTACACACGAGTCTAAGGCCAAATGATTGGTGGGTAAACATAGACAGACGTCGTGGCCGTTAAGTGAATTACTTATTTGTTTTTATTTTAATTAATTAGAATTAATAGCATCGAATTCCGCGCCCGATTCGGTTCGCCGCAAGTTGGAGGAGGTCCTGAAGCTGATGCTCCTGGTCTGGGCACGCGAAAGTTTTGTGATATCCACACTTAGCAACGGTGCACATGGTAAATGATGTCCGGACGAGATCCGGAAATAAAATCACACAAATCACTTGAATCTCGCTCTTGCTCTGCCTTGCTCTTGCTCTCTATAAATAATCACCCATACGCTTAGAGAAAAGTGGAGGGGAAATGGTGATATTTGTTGATTAATTTTTTCTATATTTTATTTCCTAGGCGTGGACAAAACCGTGGTGGTCAAGAGCGATTCCGGTGAGTTTGGCTTTCGCATTCACGGCTCCAAGCCCGTCGTGGTGGCTGCCATCGAGCCGGAGACACCGGCGGAGAGCTCTGGCCTGGAGGTGGGCGATATTATAATCTCTGTCAATGGGGTTCAAGTGCTGGACAAGCACCACACCGAGGTGGTTAAGATCGCTCACGATGGCTGCGAGAAGCTGGAGCTTCAGGTGGCCCGCACCATTGGCGTTTTGATGCACGAACAGTTGGAGCCACCCAGTCAGCCGATCTTTAGTGGATATTTGTGGCGTCAAAGCGGCCAGGCCAAGGGAGCTCCCAACTCCAAGAAATGGGTGCGACGTTGGTTCTCCCTGAGACCGGATAACTGTCTATATTATTATAAAACTGAAGATGTGAGTGTTCCCAAGATATTGCAAGGTTTTTCTAATATTTTTAATACTTTAATTAACCCTTTATCCTCATCTTTTTCAGGACTCCCAGCCCGTTGGCGCCATGATAATGGCCAAGCACACTGTTGACCTCTGTCCCGTGGATGTGGGCAAACCCTTTGCCTTCAAGGTGGATGCCGGCGAGGGTATTCCCATGTTTGTGGCCGCCGATTCCGATGAGCTGGCCAATCGCTGGCTCCAGCTGCTGAGGCAGGCGGCCGCCCAGGACAACCAGTGGCTCGACAAGAGGTGAAGGACACTGATCTTAGAGAAAGGCAACAGCAAATTATATGTAATTCTCTCACATCACTTCCTTCACAGTGCGAGGTGCTTGTACCAGAGTCCCAGCAACATTCAGAGGCCCGATTGCTTTGGCTATTTGCTCAAATTGGGCTCAAGGTGGTGCGGCTGGTCGAAACGCTACTGCGTACTTAAGGATGCCTGCCTCTATTTTTACCAAGATGCGAATAGCAAGAGTGCATTCGGTGAGTCACGATGCTGAAGCAGGTGACTGACTGATTAATTTGTTTCAATTTTCATTTCATTTAATTCAGGCATGGCCTGCCTGCACGGCTACAAGGTGGCCTCAATGTCCGCGAATGCGTCCGGCAAGAAGAACTCGTTCGAGATAATACCACCAGAGACGAAATTGCGTCACTACTTTTTCTGCACAGAAAGCGAAATGGATAAGAAGCGGTTGGTATTACGTTTTTAGGAACTAAAAACAATTTTTTAAGACATATTATAGGTATAATTATCGTACTTAAGGATCGCTTAAAGCGAGTTTCTTTTAACTTTTCTTAAAAGAGAGAAAAATTTAGAAGATCACTATGCTAAAATACTCTCTCGTTCGCTACTGAGAGAGGAAGCAAAGAAGAAAGAGCAAACAAAACTTACACCAAAACCCTTTGCTTATTTTAATAATATTATCCATTAAAAATCCTCTTTTTAATTTCTCTTTTCCAGCTGGATATCCGCCCTGGAATACTCCATCGACCGGTGGATCAAGTCCGGGTAACTAAGGTTAAAGACACGCTCCAGATCGGCTCTGAGTAGCCGGCTCAAGCGTCGCAGTTTTAGCTACTTTATGGACTAGACATTTCGATGGGATAATGTTGGGACTTTCTTCGATTTGGAGACGATTTAGAGACGATTTGATTCGGCACTAGTACGGGTACTACCAAAAAAAACAACCACACTTAGAACTTAAGCCAAGCAAACCAATTAGTTTTAGGCATACATAGATGATTGCTTAGTCCAAGGAATTTAGTGGGTCATTCAAATCGGGTTTAAAACTATTTTGAACAGAGGCGTACATACACAGATATTATATACACTCGGAATATATATACATACATATATAGAGGAATGCAATTGAACATTTTTGGTGTGTGTATTCTTGTTATATAGCTTACAACAACAAAAATATATATACAAACTTATGTTTAGTGAGGTTGTCATGTCACTTATATAGATAATATATATATTTAGCCGCCAAAAACGAATGAAAAGAAAGAGAGAAATGATCGTACAGCAGACCAAAAAATTGATTGTCTAATGTATATAGGATTCTAAAACATGATTAGGTATTCAAAAGAGGCTCGAAACGAAGGCCAACCAATGCAAAAACCCTTTTTAGATAAATGTCTATTTACAGCAACTCAAGGCGAGACCAACAAATTCGGCAATATGTTATAGTTTGTTCCCAATTCTCAATAGCTGCTTCCATACAGAAAAACATTGACATTTTGTGAATAAAAAATAACAACGGTTTTCGTCCTTATTGGAAACGATTCTTAGTTAGACACAATTACGATGTAAGCCAGGAATTAGTTAGCGCTTTTTTGATAGGTTGGATTTTTTTAGGGAACATACAACATACACACACACACACAACGTTCACAGTAGATCAAACAATAATATTAATAGAGTTTATAATTCAGAATCCAGTAGTTACTTTGTCGTATATATATATATAAACAAGAAACAAAGATATGATCTTTAAAATGCTGATTTCCTGATTTTTTTGGGTCAGTGTTCAAATACCGAGATTGAGTGAGGATTGCAAACAGTTTTTGAAGCTTCGTTTTTTGGTTTTTTAGAATACGTAAAATATATATATATATTTTATATATTTTAAATAGAGTTTTCCAATTTCAAGGCGGCGCAAACAAAAATTAGATAATACAAATGTATGCATTATGATTACAACTATTATTATAGATATATGATATACACAAGAGACAGCCATTTTATGTTGTAAAAAGTCATCGAGACAAGAAAACCAAAAACAAAAAAGAACACTAAATAAGAGCTTTAATTATTAAATAAAGAATATACCGAGAATGAATTCAAATGACGAAAGATTGTGCTGACAGGCCTGGGGGGGAGGGGTCATTGAAATGCATCTATAAACATCATTAATTTGGCTCAACGATCCGATTCCGAATCGGATCGGATCCGAGACTACCTGCTGTGTGGGGCCAACGAAGCATTTCAAATGCGATCAATGAACCTGTTGCCTTTCTGCCCCTAGCTGCTGACCGGCCACATGTTTTACACAGAGTTTTTCAAGTAATTTATTTTCAAATCGTTGAGCGATGCAAATGCGAAATATGCAAGCTGAAAAGACCACTGCCATCACACTCAGAGAAAAAAAGAGGTAGGTAAGAAATTTCCTTGACTTTAAATAATTATTATTATTTTTTGTAATTTAGATTATTTTCTTTTATTAAATAAATAAAAATGTTATAACTTACATTTTCCAATCCAGGACAGACACCTTATGTAAAGATGGAAGCTAGGAAACCACCAGGCATGGGAGCTGTATAATATAATATTTATTGAATAAGAAATTCACATTTTTAATCTTATATTTAAATAAACTTTTAATATTTAAACTTAGATAAATCAACTATAAATTTATCATTTGTGCCTTTTCTATAATAATTTTAGTCGTAACTTTATGTAGATTTATGGAATGCGCATAATTTGGGTCTACTAGTTGGCTTCTGATGGCAAAAAAGAGAATGATTAGATTTTGGAAACGTTTTTTCCTTATATAAACTCCCAAAATAATCTTTATAAGTTCTCCTAGTATTCCCTTTACCTAAATACTTATTTCTTAAATATTAAACAATATTTTTCCCAGTGCAAAACATCAGCGGCAGCAAACAGTTGCTGACGGAGGAAAGTCTACCGACGACGACGACTAGCATAACAATTCGCTCGCCCTATGAGGTGGCTACCGTTTTTCCTTCTTCTCTTCTTCCACCGGTGCCTTCGCCTGTCTTTTGTGCCCCTCCTCCGGTTACCAGTTACCATTTATCCAGTTACCAGTTACCAGTTGTTACTGTTTTCGCAGTGGCAGCCAGCCACAATTTAGTTCCACTGTGCAGCAGTGCCTTAATTACATGGGCCACGACGGCTCTCTTTTGTTGGAGATTTTTCGGGGTTTTTTTTCTCGCGATCATCGTAACGATGATCGTCATTAGCGCCCAAAACGTAACTCCCTCTCCTGGTAGGCTGTTACCTTTTTTGTTTCCTTTATTTTGCCACTTGACTGCATTGATGCTGCGCCTGATGTTGCCAGATTTTTAAGGCTGGAGTTTTTGACTGGACTTGAGGGTTATATGAAGCTATGGATCTGAAGCTAAAGTCATTATTAGGACTTGGATAAATATTGTGAAAATTTTGTACACAAATTTTCATTCTATTTCGCTATAATTCACAAAGGGTTCTAGCGTAGAAAATCATTCTCTAACGTGCGAAAAAATCACTAAAAATAGGTGATGGAATGTTAAAGGTAAAACTGAAATGAATCCCTATTCGGTTTTAAAAAATGAATACTATTTTTCGTTAAATTAAAAAATTTGACATTTTTCGTTGGCACAATTCCTAATTTCAAAGCTAAAATTATATAATTCTTTTAGAGTGTTTAAACTTTTAAATTGGAAGAAGCACATTTAGAAAGAAAAAAGTATATTCCTATAAATGGTTAATTTGTTAACTTGGAAAATTCTATCAAGATTAATTTTTATTTTTTTATAAAGTTAGAATTTATGGAATTATAATCGAGGTACAACTTGTGGGTTTTCACTATTTTTGTTAAAAGAGGAGAAACCTATCATAAACTTAAATTAGTCTTAATAAAAGTCAGTCTAGCGATAATTTTGTTTCTGAATAATCGTTTTACAACCTTTTCCGCAAGAAAAGTTTTTATGTATGCTACCCACCAACTTAGTACTCAGGGCATTCATTAATTCATTAATAAAATAAATAATTTTATTACTGTTTGAATTTTAATTTAAATATTTAGTATAAAAGAGTTTAGTATTAAAGAAGTTGTAAACTATAACAGATAGACCTAGAGTTAGTAAAAACTCTCATATAGTTTTACATAATTTATATGTTTAATCAAATTTTATAGTTTAGCAAGATCAGAATGATATTCAGAAACGCTCTATTATTAAATGTATTTATTAATTTATATTCCTTATTTACCTATCACTAGCATTATCGTCCTGGTATCGATCGTTCGCCTAATAAAACATTTGATACGCTTAACAACCCTTTCTCCGAAGTAACCTTATCTCATCCATACTTTCCGATTAGTCATTCCCCCTTGAACACGAGAAACCGCAACAATGACCCAAGAACAAAATACTCCCCCAACCGAGCAGTGGAAAGGAATAACAATAAACGAGGGGACTACCACTGTTACACCCTCCAGTGCACCCTACTGCCTACTGCCTCCTCCTCCTCCTCCTCGGCCATAACGATCCGTAGGCAATCTGGCAACACCCGGGCAGCAGCAGTTTTTACCCTTCCAACAGCAGAAAAAAAAATAACAAAAAAAGCGGTCGGCAGTCGGTAGTCGGACGACGGTAAACAGGTAGCGCTCTAACTGACAATAACTCGTCGTACTCCGCCAGTCGCCGCCGCTCTCGGTCCGTCCCCGGGTCCGGCAGTCCGGCCAGCAGCGTGCGACTGGCGGTCGGTTGGGTTGAGTTCGGTTCAATTCCTCTCAGGCACTGCCCAAAACAATGGGAAACTTTTTATCGAATAGGAATGTTTATTAGGATTTTTGTAAAATATATGTATGATTTCTTCAGAATATAGGATTATTTTAAAAGTTACCCAAAAAGAAAGGAACTAACTAAGCTGTGAAGCTATTTACTGCAAATATATACACTATAATTCCCAAATAGTTCTAGTTTGGTTTTAGTTTTATTTGGATTTCTTATAAAACACTTCGCATGTTAAAGTTACACAAGATGGCTCAGCTCTAAGGCTATTTTAGGGACTTTTACGCTATAATTCTCAAAGGGTTTTAGCGTTCTTTTAGTGAAATCAGTTCTTTAAAAGAGTTTTCTATAAAAACAAATCCTATAAAAAACTTAAAACATTCTGCTAACATGATTCCTATAGAAAGAATTCCATAAATTTATACCACTAAAGTATTTTCCAGTGCACTAAGCTCCTGCTCCCGCTCGCTACTCGCTATTCTCCCTATCTCACTCTCTTCTCTTTTCCAGCCCGTTTCTCCTACTTATTCGACTCTCTCTTTCTCCGTTTGGGCCCTATTCGACGGTTAGTGGCTCAGTCTTCCAGTGATGATTGTGGCCAACGCACCTGCGCGCGGATCGTGGATCATTGATCGGGAAAAGTGAACTGCATCGCATCGTATGTAGCTCTCCCTCTCGCTCTGCCTATCTGCATCTTGTGGTATTTGTGTGTGGTGTGTGTGTGTGTGAGTGAACTTGTTGCCGCGAGAAAAGCGCTTTTCAACTGCAACTGACTGGGCTGAGACTCTCGGCTTGTGTGTGTGGGAAGAGTTGGGGACTACTTGAGGAGCGAATTGGTAGCTGCACTGGCTTCAGCTCCTATTTCAAACAAAATGTAGAAAAACACATTTCAGCTGCCGTGGTTATATCTCGTTCTCGTTCGGTTTCGGTTTTGAGGTTTTCGGTTTTCGGTTCGGGTTTTTCATTCGCCTGTATCTGTGAGATACATTCTCTGATCGGCGTGTGTGTGCGTTGATTGTACGAGTTGTACGTGGTTTTTGTCGGTTTTTTTTTTTTGCTGGCAACTACTACGTGGTTTGTGGTAGCTGACTGCCGTTGATGCTGCCGCTGCTCCCGTAACCGCCCGCCCCCTGTGCGCCCCCTCGAGCGATCGTGCCGTGATTTGTATCTCAAAATTGTCCCACTGCGTGCGTTGGATATTTTTCTAATACAATTTTTATATCGCGTGTGTTGGGAAAATATAATGAAAATATTTGTAATATTGAAAACACAAATATTTCCGAAAACTTGAGTTTTTTAAATTGGAAAACTCATCAAAAAGCAAAACTAAAAACCTTAAATTTCCTTACACCAATTTTCTACAATTTAAATCGTTTATTTATTTCACAGAAATCAAATTTAAAAAGTGCTTTACATTTACAAAAAATCACAAATCAATTTGAAAATAAAAAACAAACAGAACCCAGTTCAAGTGCCTCTTAAAAAATAAAGATTTCCACGTAAAAAACAATGCCAGGCATTTTTTCAATGCTTAAAAACTAAACAACAAAAAAAAAAGCAACCAAAACTTGTTCAAAAAACACAAAAAAAAAACTACTTTGGATACTTGTCAGCTCAGCTCTCAGGCTTACAGAGCCCGCAGGCTTTCTTCGGTTTAAGCCACAGGTAAGAACAGGCCCTGCCCACTAAGATGAACAACAACAAAAACGAAAAAAAAATTAAAAATTCCAAACATTACCCATGTATTTATTATTATCATATTATTATATTTTTGGCCCTATGCCAAGCTAAGCTAATTATTTTTTTATTTTGGTATTTTTGCGTTGGCCAAAACGCCAGCGAGTAAACGAGAAACACAGCGAGTAGGGAGAGAGAGAGAGCAGGAGAGACTTGAGATTTCTCAAAACCTGATCTGGGAGCGGTGGAGAACGAGAGGGCCACAACGTTGGCGGTTCGGTTGGCGGACTGTCGACCGACAAGCGGCTTCCACTACAACTGCATGTGCCACTGTCATTGCCACCGAACTCAGTGTGGTGCCGCACAGTCCGCTGTGGAGTACGCCCCACCCCCTCCTCCTCCTCAACCCCTTTGGAAAATAGTTGTGGCTTTTTTTTGCTTTGCTGTGGCGCTCATTTCGACGCGGGACCGGGCCCGGCTCGAGCCGGACTCTACCGAAAAAAAACCTTCGCTTGGAATTCTGTGGGTCTCCGCCTTGGGATCTCTAGCAGAGAGTACTTAGATTTTCTTGAAAGATTTGTATACAAAAATATATGGCAACAGGGTTTGAATATTTGGAATATATTTGAAATATTTTTGGGATTTTTAAAGATTAAAAATTTCGATTAAATTAAATATTAAATATTTTGAGAAGTCATATAGTAAAGAGTATTAAAAGTAAAGTAAAGTATTAATATATAGAAATTAAATTAAATAACGCAGGTTGTTATTTTGAACAATATAAAATAATACAAATTTAATGCAGAATTTTTAAAATATTTTGAAACTACTTATGGCAAATATTTTTCTATATTTAAATGAATTAGAAGTTAATAATTCTCTACTAAATTCTTAAAGTTGTTTTTATTCTTTTCTGAAAATAAAATATTATATTTTTAGGCTGTAAACTTTCTAATAATAACCATTCTCTAGTTTTTCTCTCCCAAAAATCTTCTTTATTTTTTATTCTTAGCAGAGTATTCAAGAATTCGTCTTGGGAACTCAACCTTCTAGGTTTTTTCCATCTCTGTTTCTCTTTCCATTTTTTTTTTTTATTTGTAAACCAGTTCACTTGTAGCCAGTGCCAGTGGCCACTGGTCGCTGGCTGCTCTTGCCATCTCAGTCGCTCCAGCCGCGACTTTGAATCCGGTTTTCGGTTTTCGGATTTCAGTTTTCAGTTTTGGGTCTTCGGGGTTCAGATACAGAGATTCAGATTCAGTCTGCTTCAGTTTCCGAGCATCATCATCATCATCATCGTCATCTACATCTCTTGATTTCGTTTAAATGCTTTACTTTTTTACCTCTTTACATTTTCCTTATATTTTAAGCTTTTTTTTTTGGGTAAAAAACGCCTCCCGCGCTCTCACAGTCTTGTGAGTTATTTTTTTTTTCCCTCAATTTTTTTTTGGTTGCGGTTCTATAAAGTTATTGGCTTTTGTTTCGCCTCAGCGGAGATCTATTTGGGATTTGTTCATTGTCTCGGTTTATGGGGCTATCCGAAAATGAGTTTTTAGCATAAGAATGGGGAGTAAAAACCATAAAAGTTTATTGCATTCGATCGCTTTGGGTGGGTTTTTCTTTCATTTCATTTCTTTTTTCGGTTGCAACAGTAGGAAGGGGAAACTCTGTTTAATTGCCTTAGGAAAATCGAACATGGAAATTTATTAAAATTAAGATCGTTAAATAGGAAAAACGTAAACTCGTGACAAAATAGCTGATGAATTTTAGTTGGCCATAAAGCGAGACGAGGAACAATGGCTCGTTAGGGTTTTGCCATATCGGACACACCTGGTTTTTTCTTCGTTTTGGCACGTGTCTATAATTCACCTGATCGACCAGTTCAGTCTCATCAATTTTGATGAGGAAATTAGACGTTGTCCAATGGGGAATATGAATATTTGATTCTATTAACACAGAACATATATTCGATCAGGGGTTTTTTTATGGAATTGGGAAAATTGATTGAGATGATTATTACATTATTTTGCATATTTGTTCAGGGTACTAAAACTTGGTTATTAATTAATTCATTATTAATCGAGAAATATGTCTCCTTAAACTAATAAATCGTAGTCTTAGGAAAGGCCGTATGTGTCTGAAACCTACTTAGCATAAACTCCTCTAATAAATAAGAATAACCCACGTCTGGAAAAAGTAGCAATCACTTGAACAAAAGACCTTAAGAGCTCTATTCATTGGGTGAAATTCTTGAATGGAACAGAACAATATACCAAGAAATTTATGAAGAGATCGGCTTAGCATACAAAGTAGATTAACTGCAAGAGGGATTAGTGTTTGAGTCAAAGTTAAGCCGAGAAGAAGTGTATTTGAAGAATAGGAAAACGACTAGAACTCGTGCTAAGCCAAAGGGAATTATTTTTAAAAATGTTTCACTTGACTTTTAGATGAAATTAAATTATTATTTCATTAGAAATTGATCTCTAAAGGTTTAAAAATATATTTAATCGATCTCATTCTCCATTTATCATTTGAATTTAATCCCTTTTGCCACATTCTTTTTGCATCCTTTAATAATACAAAAATCTTTAGTCATAACTTTAAAGCATTTTCAATTTATGCTAACGACATTATCAATCCAGGCTGAAGCAGCAGCAGCAGCTGCATTCCCGAACCCATAAAACTTCATTAGCAGTTCAGAAAACATGGCCGCGAAATTAGCAAAGCTCTTTGAAATTAATGGCCGGCAAAAAGGCAGAGAGGCAAAGGAGAGGCACTCCAAATGTGTAAATCTCATGGATATTAATCAAGAAAATTATATAGACAAGGCTGGGAGCGCAGAAGGCACCCGAAGGAGGATCGCCTTGGCTAGGGCAACTTGTTTTTCCACCACAGGCCATGATTATGCTAGATTTTTAATAGCTTCGACTATAATCTCAGATGCTGCTGCTGCTGCTGCTGCCCCGAAAGGGTTTTTCAGATTAACGCATGTGAAGTGCAGGCAGCCGGGCAGGTCTTGGACTATAATTATAAGTCTGCGTTTTCCTCCTCTCCTTCTCCTCCTCTCTTGGTTTCTTGATTATTAGCTACCTTCGCCCCAGCAGGAAAAATCGTATAGCCCATGTCCCGAAGGGATTAAAAAAAGGAGAGAGAGACGCGATGCCTGGCCAAGAGCATTCCGAGCTGCAAAACCGATCTGGGCGACCCTTTTTTTTCGTCTTTCTTTCCTTTTTTTACCCCCTCCCCCTGTCTTGTTTGTTGTTTTTGTTGGCTGGTGTTTTGTAAGCAAACTGAAGTTGTGTGGAAGTGTGGAGGAGAGGAGAACCCGGTAAGCACTCCTCGGCCCATAAGCGAGATATGGTCAGCAGAAAGGGAGGAGGCCCTGGGCTGATGAACTAACAAAATACCCTGGGGGTGTGGGTTTAGGATATATTTTTCTTGGGAAATAAAATAAATAGGAGTTAAAGGGGGTTAAAGGATGGTTTGTAGGGCTTATAGCATTTGAAAAAAGAAAATATTAAATATATTCCCTTAAAAATAAGCTTACATTGGATGTGGAATAAAATTAAATACTAATGGGATGCTATTACATTATTACAATTATTCTAGATATATTTATTGTAACGTTTAAATATTAATATAGTGCATATACCCCTTTTGACACCTAAAAAACCGTAAGTACTGGGCAGTAAGACAGCCTGGACATTTCCAAGACATCGTAGGCCATCATCAGAGGGACAAACTCCCCTTCTACACCTCCTCCACTCTCCGCGTTTTCTATACAAACACTAAATCCGTTTGCCCAGTTTGTGTGTGTGTGTTTGTATATATTTTTCTGAGTTTTTTTTTTATCAACTGAAACCTTTTCACTCTACGCTGTGCTTGGGCCTCAGACTCTGATGTTTACACACAAAAACCCAGCCAACAAACGAACCGATCCCGGACCCAGGCCACAGAAGACGTAGAAGAAGCAGAGGAGGAGGGAAAAAAAGTGGCAGCCAAATTGCTCCTCGATATCTTTTCTTATTTTTCCTACGCCAGCAGTAGTAGTTGGTCTTCTGGCTCTTTTTATTATATGTACGATACACGAGAAGAAAAATAGAGAACGAAAGATATAGGAAATAAATGTTAGCCTTTGAAAAAGTAAAGTTTCTTTGTTTTCAAAAATTGATTTACCTAAGAAAAGGGTGTTTATTAAGAGTTTTTGTCTTAAAATTCCCAACTGGTTCTATACAACAAACGAGAAAGCTAAAATTTATTACAGATTTCTGCAAATTCTAAGTAAAGTAAACACTTTTAACACTTTTAAGATCACTTGCATTCGTAAAACAGTAAAAGTAAGTTATCAACCCAAGAAATTGAGAATTGAGAAAATATCCTAATTTTTTTCCAGTGCCCTCATAGCCATAGTACACATATTGGAAATTTTTAAGCCTTTGGCTTCATTTGCTGGGCAACCGTTTGCGCAAACGCTGCGCTGCCTGTGTATCTGTAGTATCCGTGTATCTTTGTATCGCGGTATCCGCATCTGTATCGGTATCGGTATCTCACAACTCTCTCCCTCCCTCCCTCTCTCTCTCTCTCTAGTCTACGTGCTGTCGCTTTTGCGCTGATGATGTCCATTATTTACATGGATTTTTATTTGTTTTTCTTATTTGGCTTGACGTTTTTTTCTTTTTTTTTTTCAAAAGTGCCGATGTTTCAAAAAGATAATGAACGCTGGAATTGTACATTGTATGTGCACAGAGTGTGTGAGTCCGGAGGGGGGACGGTCGTCGTAAATGCAAAAGTGAGGAAACAACAAAAGCCTAGAAAAAAGTCTCGGTACAAAGCAGAAAAAAAAATAATAAAATGGAAATATGAAAACCAGAAACGGGTTACGGTTACACTTTTCGAGGCTACCAGAAAAATACGTGAGCCAGAGTTGGGGGAGTTTTATTATTATTATCGATATGGGATCGTAATCGAATGAGATATTAGTGGCTCATCCACTGATCATATCAAGGCGGATTTATTGTAACCGGAGTGTCATAAACAGATCAGATAAGCTTCTTTATTGATACACCATATAGATAAGATTAGATATATATTTATACACATAGGTGTAGGTTTGGAGTTCGGTATTATTCAATTATTAAGCTATAAAAATGGGGATTAGTTTGGCATGTGCTTCTGAGGGAAAACCTGTGGAGGTTTGAGTGGTTTAACTCAAAGAGATAGTGTTATGAGTTGGTATTTATTATTGAATAATTCAAAGTTATATCACAAAGCTATGTAATAAATATAATAACAAGAATGTTTTAAGAATCTTCCAAGCATTTAATTAAAATTCAAGTAATTTGTATGTCCCTGAGTACTGTAAGATCATCACATTTTGTACTAAAAGTCACCCTGATAAACCCAAGATAACACCTTCCTTCCACAGATATTTAAATTATGATCATGAGGTTCTCCACATCTATTTTTTTCCACTTGAACTACGCATTCCGCTTGCCAAGTCATTCCCATTCCCTATAAAGCCATAACAATGAGACTCATGATCAAGTCATGATTCCAGCTACTTTATAGAGCTAATCTGACAGCGGGCACTCTCGGTCGACAATGCCAAAAAAAACGTATTTCCATAGATAATAGAGCTCCACAATAAAACTAGAAGAACGGTACATCTACCCACAATGGGCGCCTCTTCCAACTGCCTCAAAATCTTAGCCAGATTTGTATATATTTTTTTCCTTCTTTTGACTGATCTGTTGACTCTTAATGTTGATCTTGATGACGTTGCAGCATTTTGCATTCAAAATCAACCGAGACAGAGAGCCAGAGAGTGGGATTCTAGCAAAATGATAAGCAAAACTGTCATTGCCCAGACAGCAGGGTAATTTTTTTTTTCTACCTTTTTTCTACATTTTTTCTACCTTTTTCCCCTGTCTTCTCTTGGGTTTGCTCAACTGGTTATAAATTTAAATGAGGCGCTCAGACAAAACGGAATGGAGAACACGGTAAAAAAAAAGGGGTTAAATTTGTATTTGAATTTTAATATTTTTTATAAGTTTTTTTTTTAAGCCAAATTAAATTGATTTTCAAGGGGTTCAATAATAATTTTGAGATCTTTTGAGAAGATTAAATATTTTTCAGAGAGCTAAGATAGAACAGAACCCCATTTATATATATTATTCTAAAATATATTATAATACCTTACTTAATATTTAAAACATTCAACAACTTCTAAACTCAAGATCGTCTTGACCCTTTTCATTTTCTCCGTGTTGAGTTTGAGAAAACCCTGGCATTCGGACCGCTCCACAAGTTTTATGGTTCTGGCCATCATTGTGATCATTATTATCTGCATTATTTTGTTATTATCGCGATGATCACGTTCTCCGCTCCGCTCGGCGCACTCAGAAGTCGAGGCTCCTGTTGCGTAAATCCAGTAAGCAGTCGGTCGAGTTCGGTTCGGTTCGAGTCATTTACCAAAAGCGACGGCAACTTGGCTGGCTTGCTGCCTGCCTGCCTGCCAGCCTGCCCCTGTATCTGCATCTGTGTGCGCTTTGTATCTTTGTATCTGGCAGTGCCACTGCCGTATCTGTGAGTGCCGTATCTGAGCCACGGGTAGCCTAGTGTGCGTCTGTGTTTATATCGTTACTACTGTGCTGGCTTACTTGCTTACTCACAGCAGAGGCAGGTTTTTTTTTCGTAGGTTTTTAGACGCACAATCTTATCTAACCTGGCAGCGGCGGCAGCACCAGATCGCGCCAACTGCGACTCGTTTTCAGTTTAGTTTCACTCGCCGTCGTCGGCAGTCCGCCGCTGATAATAATAAAACAACAACAATAAAGGCTCAAAGAGCCATAAAAAAAACGGAATTCATATGGAAAAGCGCAGGAGTGATAAACCCTTTAGTTACCCTGTGAAAATCAAGATTCTAAGTCAAAGCTTATGGGTAACTTTTCAAAGAATTTCGGGTTGAATCAGCTTAAAGGCCTGTTTTGTAATGAAATTAGTGAGTGTTGAGCTGTTTATTTATTTTATTTATTGCAAGTGCAATGAAAGTCGGTTTATTTTGCGATAAGAAGTGCAAAAAATAAACTTAAAGGTGTTAAGGCGCATTAAAAGTGAGTTAAAACTTGGAGTAAATGGAAAATGCATGGAAGACTTTTTGGGGAACTTTGAAAATACAAATAAAAGTTTGTAAATATAAAAAGTAAATTTATAAAAATATTTGGAAATGTTTAAAATATTTTGGCCAACATATAATATATTTTGGAATATTTAGTAAAGGTTTTGAAGCTTAATTTTTGATGTAAATAAGGTTTTCAGGGTACCCAAAGCCCCGAATTTAAGCCCCTAACTAATTAATATAAATATAAACACAAATTAATACAAACTCCTACCAAGATCACCTCCCAGCAGTGGGTTTATCATGCCCCGTTCTACCTTGACAGCTATAAAATACAGCCTGGAAATAACTGTTTATTGCACTTGAAACGCAATTAAGATAAGCCTCAACAAAAAAAAAGAAGAACAAAATAACGAGAGCCCAATTAACCTGCTACAATTAGCACGGCCAAGGCGTCTCCACTAATTGTTATTTACTGCCACCTTACTCCCTGCCAGCCCTAATTTATTTTCCATTTTCGTTTTCAGTTCTAACGGCATGTGAGAGGAGCCCCACACGATGCCCACGGAAAGCTCATCCAGCGAGATCTCCGGCGGAGGAGGCGGCGGAGCCATTCCCATGCTGCGTCCCTCCCGCATGGATCAGTTCATGTCCTCGGTGGCAGCGGCAGCCGCTGCCGTCGGTGGAGCGGCCGCCGCCTCGGTGGAGCGGAACGGACCGGGCGGAGGTGGATCCTCTGATGGTGGCTCCCAGAATGGTGGCGATTCCAGGAACTCCTCGGCCAGCCGGATGTCCGCCTACGAGACACAGCTGGCGTATCAGCAGCATCTGGCGGGACTCCATGGAGGACCACCGGGGCCACCACCACCGCATCACAGAGAGATCTCCGCCTTTGTTCCGGTCCTGCCCACCGGAAAAGTGAGGCCCGGCAGTAATTCCAACTACGAAATCATCGCCATGATGGCGGACAAGCGCAAGGAGCTGGCCCTCCGGGAAGCAGCGGCTGCGGCTGCCATGCTGGGACGTGGTCCTGGGGGTGGCCCACCCGGAGTACCGCCACCGGGAGTATTGTACGCCCCGCCAGGTGTCCCACCGCCGCCATATCTCACCGGACCGGGACCCTCGCCCACGGGAGCCGGAAGCTTTCCCTTTCCGCCCGGAGCTGCTGCAGCGGCGGCAGCGGCTGCTGGTCTCTTTCCGCCCGGCTTGGGACCTGGTATGCACGCCGGCCTGGACAGGCGGTTGCTGCGAGCACCGGGACGGGCTTCAAGGCCCAAAAAGCAGTTCATCTGCAAATTCTGCAACCGGCAGTTCACCAAGTCGTACAATCTGCTCATCCACGAAAGGACGCACACGGACGAGCGGCCCTATTCCTGTGATATCTGCGGCAAGGCGTTCCGGCGACAGGATCACCTCAGGGATCACAGGTGAGTTGCGACTGATATTAAAAAAAAAAAGAAAAGATAACTAAAAGGGGGAGTGTCTGCCTCGGTAATTGCCATCCAGGCGGCTGCAGACCTGCAGTTAAGTTTAAGATTTGATTTGGACAAGTAGGAGGTTCAAGAAATACCCTTAAAAAAGAGGGAAAATATTGGGGATTTAAAGGAGAAATATATAAATAATATTATTTAAGGGAGAAGTAATTTCATAAATATTTAAAGTTAAACTTGGCCTTTAAATAAATTAAAAAGGGAATAATTGTCTTTAGATCTTCAACCAATTTAAGCCTCTCATTTAATTGGAAATCCTTTTCAAAACTAACTATAAAAATTCCTAGAATATTCTAAACTTTCTTTTCCCATAAAAATAATCAAAAATTCAAGCCTTTTCCGACTCCATCTTAACCGAAAGAGTACAACACTTGACGCAAGCCAAGGCAACAAACAGCAAAGTTAATTAACTCTGTTTGGTTTTCCTTTTGCGGGCTCCAACAGCCAGCATTAAAGTCGGAGGGAATGCCACGGGGAGCTATATATATATGTACATATATAGGATCCCAGCCCCGATCCCAGGCAGCAGGTCTCCTCCGTACTCGAGCAGCCTGTCCGCAGAGCGTTCTGTCTTTTGATCGTTCGGTATCGGTCCATTTGTCGTTTGTTTGCTTTTTGCCGCGGGGCTAATTCTTCTTTTTCCACCGCGTCCAAGAGCATGGGAGAAGAATCTCGGTAGAGGCAGAACCTGTTTTCGGGTCTCGCCAGCAGCAGCTGCTGGCTGCCTCCAATGAGGCTGATGCTGAAGCTGATGCCGAGAAGATGGGGACTTCCACTGGGGGCCGAGATGCTGCTGCTGCTGCTCCGGCTGCTGCTGAGGCTGCTGCTTGCCAACAACAAGTGGACACCATTGCCAAGATGGCCGCCATAAACATTAAAAATTAATGCAGGCAAAGGCAAGTTCAGCATAAAGAAACTTAAATACCCTTTAAAGTCGTTATTTAAGCGGTTTTTTTTACTTTAAGAAAATCTTGTTTAGGTAGATTTTTAAAGCTGAAGAGTGGGTTAATCTGTTTTGTAGGGTAAAGGAGGCAGGCTTTAAAGCTATTTCAGGTCCCCATCAGAATTTTTTTAATTCTGTCTGATATTTTTTCCAAAATTAACCCTTAGTTAGGGTATCACAGTATCATTATAAAAGCAAGCTAAATGTTTTCCGTTTTGTCTTTAAGTAAATGCCACATTAGAGCCACAATAACTGTCAACCTGAACCACCAATTGCTGCTACCAAACCACCCACACACATTACCCTATAATATTTCACCTGGCTAACCTCTCTATTCTTTGCCTCCCCAGGTACATCCACTCCAAGGAGAAACCCTTCAAATGCACAGAGTGCGGCAAGGGCTTCTGCCAGTCGCGAACGCTGGCCGTGCACAAGATCCTGCACATGGAGGAGTCGCCGCACAAGTGCCCCGTCTGCAGCAGGTCCTTTAATCAGCGCTCCAACCTGAAGACCCATCTGCTCACCCACACGGATCACAAGCCCTACGAGTGCTCCTCCTGCGGCAAGGTCTTCCGCCGGAATTGCGATCTCCGGCGCCATGCTCTGACCCACGCCGTGGGCGAGGTCAACTCGGGCGACTATGTGGACGTGGGCGAGGAGGATGAGGCCAGGAACTTGAGCGGCGACGAGGAGGATTCGTTGCTGGAGGTGGACTCGCCCCGACAGTCGCCAGTTCATAATTTGGGTGATTCCTCTGGAGCTGGCGGTGAGAAATCCGAGTCCGAGCGAATGAGACTCAAACGAAAGGCCGGCGCCCTGGATCATCATCAGGAGGATAGTGAGGAGGAGTTCGATGACTACGACGAGGAGGAGGATCTGCACGATTTGCAGGCCAGAGAGGGAGCCGGAGGAGAAGAGGAGGAGGACTTTGATCCAGAGGATGAAGAGCGGGCAGAAGTGGCTCTGGTGGCAGCTCGTTTCCAGGCAGGCAAGACTGCCGCTGCTGCAGCTGCTGTTGGTGATGCCATCTCCTCCAGCGTTGCCTCGGCATCTTCCAGTGCCTCCGGCAAGCCGGAGCGGCAGGGCGTGACCCACTGCCACCACGAGGGCGGGGAAACCTACACGATGAGACCGCATGGAGAGAAGCATCTAGAGGAGCCGCCTGCCAATCCCAGTCTGGCGGTACCACCTTCCTTTGTGCGATACCCGCCAGGAGCCGGACCACCTCCTCCACCTCCACTGGGATCGCACCCAGGACACCCACACTTGCTGCCACCCAATGGCGATCCCTACTTGCCGATCCTCCACGTTCGTCGCGATTTGCACCACAAGAGCCTGAACCTCTCGAAGGCAGCTCCACCGCCACCGACTCCTCCTAGCATCAGCATCCAGCCCGAGACGAGTAAGCCACCCACTCAGCCCCTACACTCGCCGCACGAGGCGATGCCCAGCTTCCTGGGTTCGATTCCCATGCGAAAGAGGATCCTGCCGCCACCGCCGCCGCCTCCCACCTTGGACCTGATGGATCCCCAACACCATCACCATCACCATCATCCCGGCCTGGGAGGTCCTAGGACCTTCGTTGATAGCCCGGGTATATATGCCTTGAATATGTCGCGACATCCACCAAGGCAGCTACTGGGAAAGCCTCCGCCGAGTACGGAAACTAGTGGAGTAACCAGCTCAGAAAAAGGAGCACCACCTGGGGCAGGAGCACCACCTGTGGCAGCCCCACCCATAGCACCGCCAGCAGCGCCGCCCAGAAGGACAGGTTTCAGCATCGAAGACATCATGAGGCGTTGACCCTAAACTAAAACTAAGAGGGAGGCCACGGAAATCGTTGTGATTTTGAAATTCACTCAAAAAGTGGTCTAAATAAATGCACTAAATATTTCGTTGCATAATTTAGGTCACCTCTTTAAGTGATTTCAAATCTCCAGCGATTTCTGCCAAACTGAAATCTGTAAAACATGATCTGAAGCCGATTTCGGGTCCTTAAAAACTTGTTCCCATAAGGGGTATTCATCCCGAAACATTTAACGTTAATTTAGAACTACGTTTTAGTACATTTTAGTACAATGTCTCTAGGCAAGGCAATAGACCTAAACTAAGTAATAAAAATATATAAAAATAAAGCATTCCCTAAGCTGTAATTCTAAGCGTAAAGAAACTGAAACTCTGTTGTTGCATTTTATAGAGCCCCTAAAAATATATATATATATCATATATATAAGTTAGGTTTTAAGAAACTTAGCTTAAATCTAACCACTTAAATGCTTAAGTACGAGAGTCTATCGCTTAGTTTTTTAGTTATTTTCTCGTGTATGTCAGTGTGTGTGTGTGCCTGGCCCCAACAACACTAAGTGTTGCTGTTTTTTCGAGTGGATGCCAACTTTTAATTTATGTTTCCTTATCCCGTAAGCTAATCTTAATTAAGAAAAACAAAAGACGCGAAAATCGTAAATCGATTTTGTTTGTAGGGGAAAAAAATGGTTGAAAGTAAAAGTAAAAAACAAAATCAAAAATTGAAACTAAGCAACATTCCAGTTGAACCTTATGTAATTTAGGCTTAGTTTAGTTTTTAAGACTTTTTCGTAGTGCTTAAGTGAGTTGTGTAAGTAAGCATTCCATTCCATGGTCTTCCTTGAATTTTAAATGATTTTTTATTCAATCCATATAGCGAGTTAGTTTTATTACAAATAAAGATTGCATTAATATGGAAAATGAGTGTCTCTTTTTTATTGTTTTAGAGAATAGTAAGCTTATATTGCATACTTTCTGAAGCATCTTGAAATGATTTCAGGTGAATGGCGACCGTGAAACTATTTCTTAAATAAGAATTTAAAGATAAGTTTTGGGTTTGATTATTGTTTTTCTTAAATAAATATAGTAATATAGTAATATATCTTCCTGAATTCCTATTCTGTTAAACAAATAAATATTTTTATGTCAAAGAAATAACATTCTACCCATAAGAAAACTCCAAGGTCCCTCCCCCAACTAAATTCTACTTAATTTTATTAACTACCAATCTCGGCAGTTTATTTCCCATAAAAGCTGTGCTGATTTTAGAGAGATTGCTGTCAAGATCGAAAGGGATCTCCGTGGAGTTATAATAAAATACAAAAAAATCCACTGACTCACTCGCGTTTTGGGGCCATCAATCACACAGACTCTGCCGGCGGCCGTAATAATACTTCGGGCACGTTTCGAGGCCCCTCACCTCACCTTCCTAGACACGGCAGACACGACAGTTTGCGGTTTGTGGCAACGCCTTTAACATTGACTCTCCGGCAAATCGATTTAGAGAGAGAGGTGCGGGCTAGGGACTGAAATCAAGTACGCGCCACTTGGACACGTAGAAAGTTCAATTAAAATGCCACGCAAATTGTCATCATCCTCGCCGCCAGTTGGGAGTTGTGCGTTTCCTGGAATGCCGCCCTTTCCGCCAAATATATATGTGATTTTCCCAGCAAATGACATTAATTTCGGGCTCAACTATAAAATAATTCGCCAAGTTTCTCCGCCAAGATGATATCATCTCGAGTCCCAGGAAAGCACGTGATTTGTTTGCCAAATAAAAAATACGTTGCGTGAGAATGGTCTCAGATATTACCATTTTTTTTATCACTTGCCACGGAAATTTAATGTTTTATATGCAACAAGAATTGCAAATTGTTGGAAATGGTTTTAAAATTTAAATCCCAAAAGAAGCTGAGCATAATATTTACATGCTAATAGTTATGAAAATAAAAATCATTCATACTTACTAAATTTCACATTTTATGAAATCAAAATTTTTGCCAATTTTTATTTGACCATTAAACCATTTTCAGACCTCAAAAAAACAAAAAAAAATTAAAAAAAAAATTTTTTTGCCTAACATGGCTAGATCGACTCTGCTTTTTGTGCTGATCAAGAATATATATGATTTATAGGGTCGGAAATGACTCCTTCACTTAATAATTTTATAAAACCCCTTAATAAGATCTTAAATATTCACTGTCTTTAAGTGAATATTTTTATATATTTTAAATACTAAGTTTTGTTGGTTAAAAATATCATATCTAAGCCAAAAAAGCATAAAATTCAATTCGGAAAGCTTTTCTGTGCTAGTTTTTTCTAGGTTAACAAAACTGCAAACTGAATTTCACATTTTAAAGAATCAAAATTTTTGCCAATTTTTATTTGACCATTTTCAGACCTCAAAAAATCAAAAAATAAATTTAAAAAAAATTGTTTTGCCTAACATGGCTAGATCGACTGTGCTTTTTGTGCTGATCAAGAATATATATGATTTATAGGGTCGGAAATGACTCCTTCGCTGACTAAAATCATAAAACTCCTCAGGAAGGTCAAAAATATTCACACTCTTTAAACTAATATTTTTATATATTTTAAATGGTAATTTTTTGTATAAAAAATATCATATCTAAGCCAAAAAAGCATCAAATTCAATTCGGAAAGCTTTTCTGTGCTGGTTTTTTCTAGGTTTACAAAACTGCATACTAAATTTCACATTTTATGAAATCAAAATTTTTGCCAATTTTTATTTGACCATTGAACCATTTTAAGACCTCAAAAAATAAAAAAATAAATAAAAAAAATTTTTTTTTGCCTAACATGGCTAGATCGACTCTGCTTTTTGTGCTGATCAAGAATATATATGATTTATAGGGTCGGAAATGACTCCTTCACTTAATAATTTGATAAAACCCCTCAGGAAGGTCTAAAATATTCACACTCTTTAAATTAATATTTTTATATATTTTAAATGGTAATTTTTTGTATAAAAAATATCATATCTAAGCCAAAAAAGCATCAAATTCAATGCGGAAAGCTTTTCTGTGCTAGTTTTTTCTAGGTTAACAAAACTGCATAATAAATTTCACATTTTAAGAAATCAAAATTTTTGCCAATTTTTATTTGACCATTGATCCATTTTCAGACCCCAAAAAATCAAAAAAAAAATTTAAAAAAATTTTTTTTTGCCTAACATGGCTAGATCGACTCTGCTTTTTGTGCTGATCAAGAATATATATGATTTATAGGGTCGGAAATGACTCCTTCACTACGTAAAAACTGAATTTAACCTAATACTTGATTTTAGCACTGCTAAAGAGAAAAAACAAATTTTAAGTGCATTGTAAAAATAAATTATCAAGTTTTATCGTTTTTTTTTTTAAATTTTATTTGATATATTTATTAAAGTTGAAGTTCATATTCTCTAAAATTATATTTTCGATCTTCATTTTACCGAAAAAATCCGATTTTACACTATTTTACAGACGCTTAGTTCCCGAATCTCACACAAAGTTGTGGCGCTAACAATGTACACTTCCTATGGTAAAATATCAGATGTGGGGAGTTTAGATATTTAAAAATAATAGCAGTTATAAATGGAATAGTAAAACCATTCAATTTCCATAGAAGAATTTTTTTTATAGAACGATTTCTATTGTATAAGAAAGAAAAATATTAACGTTAGAGTTAGAAAGAGATATAATAAAAAAATAATAAAGCACTAGAAGTGCTACAGTTTGGTGTGATCGACTAAGAGGTACCCTGTTCTCAAAGCATTAGTAAGAAAGGAACATGGACATGACTATTTCCCCACGTCTAATTATGCTGAGTTAAAAAACAAAGGAAACTTAACTTAAACCGAGGGAAATATTGAAAAAATGAAGGCACATTTTGCTAAGAATATGTTCACCCAAATAAAAACCTTTCCACCCACAACTTAACAGTGTTGCAGCCGTGTTACCAACAGCAACAGGTTCCAGCTACCAACCACTACCTCGCTGCAAGCTTTTTTGGGCTCCGCACTGCACTGTTAGCATTTCGGCCAAGGTAACTGGAGAGTGTAACTGGTGTTTTGGCCGCTCGCTCGTCCGAAAGCTGCTCTGGTCTTTGGGCTTAATGCGATTTTTCAGCCTCTCCAGGCAACTCAATGCGCTCAACGGCGCTCATTGGGGCTTTTTGTAGTCAGTTCGGTTCCGAAGGTGTTCGCTGTTGGACGTGTTCTGTGCTCGTAGTCGCTCGATCGCGGGAAAATAGCGCTAACTTATTGATCTCAGAAGGTGGCTTTGTTGTTGTCACGTATACGTACAGTTGGCCGTTCGAGTGTGTGTTTGTGTGTGTAAGTCTGTGCGAGAGTGTGATCGCTGGCTGTGTGCTGACCGCGCCTTAAAGCGTTGCGACGCTTCTTAAAAAGTTAAAATAAATCTTATTTTGTATTTTTTAAAGAGAGTGTTTTTAATAAATAAAGGAAAATATTATGAAAACAGTGTTTATAAAGTGAGAAATTTAATAAGAAAATACAGAGAGTGAAGAGGCAAAGCTTTGGGCCAACTAAAAAGTGAGGTTGTGTTGGTGCTTTGGCCAAAAAAAAAAAAGTATTACCAAACACACCAATACCTGTAACAGCGCAAAAGTGGAGTGTACACAAAGAAAACATACAAGAAGCCGAGAGAATTACGGCTTCAATTAAGGCTTAAAAGGAGACAGGATTCTTGTTAAAAATTATAGTGCTAAAAAATAAGTGATTTTTTATATAAAATCTGTAGGGAGGTTATGAGTGTTGTGACCGTTAAATTTGAGCTGAAGAGAAGGCTAACAGAGTAGTGAGATTTGGGTTAAAAGAGTTTGGATTCTTGGTCAAAAAGCAAAGGCAACTTTAAAGAATCAATTATAAATAAATAAAATCTATCCTTTTTCTGAAGTAATATTTAAGCATTTTTAAATTAAACCAAGTAAGCAGACTTGCAAATAATATATTTTATTTACCTTTCCCTGGCGGTCTTGCCAAGCCGATTGAAACCGGTTTAATGGCGTTTATTTCTTATGCGTTCTTAGTCAACATCAAAGACTGAATCCTAGCAATTACTTAATATGAGAAGAATACAAGAAAAAATATAAGAAAATTAAAAAATGAAAAGTAAATACTATAAATAATAATAAAGAATTTCATTATTTGATGTCTTAAAAAACAAAAATAGCCTCTAGGGAATTACTATAACTAATTATTTTTCTATCCCCATTTTATGATATAATTTCTGCGCTTTTTCTATAAAATCTTTCACTTGGAACAATCATAAAGCCATGATTTTTTCTTTCTCTCTTAAAAAAAGATTCGGTTCAGCGAAAGACTGAAAAAAACCATCGAAGTATAAAGATTTGGATCCGAAAAAAATTCTGTTAGCTGGCTGCTCTGTTTCTCTCCTCGTTTTGCACGCTTTCTTGGCAACTAATTGCACCATCTATGGATATTTTTTACTCAATTTTTTTTGTTTTGCGTTTTGTTTGTGGCCAATAAACTGCAACTGCAACTGCAACTTTTGAGCCCCGATGCGTTCAGCGAGCCGCAACGTTGAGTTGGTTGCACTTGTTTCCCGCCAAATCCCCCTCTTGCCTAGCGACAGGTTCCTCTCTCGGTAGTTCCTCTGTCAACTTCCGCTCCGCATTACTCATCCGCCGGGGAGCCGCCGATGACGCGTTGCCCCTCCCTCTCTGGTAGGCCGGAAAAAAAAGTGAATTAAAAGAACATTTTCGCCAAAGGAAGTGGGGCATTATCAATCACTTGGCTTTTAGATAAGGGGGAAAGGAAAAACAAAGACAGGCGACGGTGCATTTTCTTGGGGTCTGTAAACCTATATCTATAGCCATATATATTTAAGGAATTGATAAAACAAAAAGCTCCAGAGACTGAGGTCATGCTCAGTACTTTTACACAATATTAGTTTTTAATTTATTAGTTTACTTGATGAAATATAAAAAGGGGGTTTTCGAGTAATAATATTACATTATTAAATGTGACTTCTAGTTCTATATTCAAATTCAATATACAAATAACAAACAAAAAAATACATCAAAAATAATGGATGCAAAACTGGCAGGTCAAGCTAATTAACATTTTTGCGTGTCGAGCATCATCAATGACAGTGTTGAGAGATAGATATATAGAGAGCAATGAGCATTTAGTAGTATTAGTCATTCATGCCGGCAAATGACTAACAAAAACTAGTTAAAATTCTTCGTAAATCAAAGCAAAACAGAACGAAACAAATTGAACAATGATGGGAGCTCTCAAATGACCATAAAATTGGTTAGACAATTGTAATTTTAACAATTTGTAGAGCCAACAGGTTTGATGAACTCTCTTTTTTTTTTTTTTTTTTTTTTGTTAAAACGGAAACTAAATTAAATTGCTGTAAAATTGACCAAAAACCAGCTGCACAGCGGGGGTATAACCCTTTCACATGAAGAGAAAGCTCAATTAGACCAAGAACTCAGCCTGTGGGAATTGAAACTAAATTTGAAGTCTGACTAAAACTAGTTTAAAATGTATGAATGGGAAAATGGTAATTAAATATAAAAAAAATATATAAAAAACGACTCTAAATTTATTTTTTTAATTAAAGCATACTTGTAAAATATTTTCTAGATAAATTATTTATATATAATATAGCTGGTAATTTTGATATCTTATCTCTAAATTTTCTATATAAGCTATAAGCTTTTCGTAGGTATAGAAACAAAGAAAATGTCTAATGGGCACGTATTCCAAAATAAATCATAATATAATTATTTAGAAAGCTTATATACACCAGAAATAAGCCTATTATCAAAGGCTATATAATTATAATTAACTAAATTTTCTGAATAATAATTCCCTTATTTATGCCTTCAGATTTAGTTTTCTGAAGTAAAAAACCATAGGTTCCTTGGTCATAAAAAACCTCAACATAAAAGATACTTCAGGCTAAGTGCATTTCTTTAATTTATGACAAAACGCGAAATGCCAAAGCACTAACCGAATCGAAAACTAAAAAGTTAATAAACCCATAAAAAGGCAAAAAAAGACAATAAACGTATTGAATGCACTTCAAATGCAGTCACGGCAACCACGAAAACAACATTTCAGCCGGTGACGACGCTGTTCAACGACTTGCATCGCTTGCAGTTGAGTCACACGTCCGAGATACAAGATACAAAGATACAATCCACACACGCACCGTTGTCCCCCCGATAGAACCCGGCTCTCTTGAAGCTACTTTGCATATTCGATACATAATGCTGGCTATCGGGGAAGTTGGGGCTACAGAGAGAGAAATGAACGTATATATTTCAAATATTTTTATTTAAAAAAAGGAAGGGATATATTGCAATACCTTCAATAAATAAATCATAAAAGTATTGATAACTAATGGTTAATAATAATTAAAATTTTTTTAAATATGATTTATTTCCGATCTTCCTAAAGCATCAAAATTTCTCCCCGTGCACATTGGAGGTGGAGAAAAGTTTAAGGTAAAGCCCGTTAAGTCGAAGGTGGAAATGCTTTCTGCTTTCTTCTTTCTTCTTACTACGCACACGTAACCGAAGAAGAAGAGGAGAAAGAAAGTCAAAAGAAAACTGGAGAAAAACACACGAACTTTACTTGCGGTGCGTGCGTCGCTCTCGTAGTATCTCCATCTCTTCAAAGCTCTGCCTCTCTCTCTCTCCCTCTCTCTCTCTCTCTGGCATGAATGAAATGCCTACACATTTACAGTTATTTTACAAAAAGTTTTTGGGGGGGAATTCCAGCAACAACTCCCCAATAATTTACATGTTGTTGTTTCTGTGTGTTTTTTGTGTTTGTTTGCCTCATTTCTTTTGTTGTCGCGTTCGGTGCTCTTGCTGCTATTGTTGTTGGTTGCTTGGCGTCCGCTCTCCCTAGTGGGCAATGCAAGTTACTAAACCCTCCCGAAGTCAGTCACTGCTAACGGTTCTTTGCGTATGGACGTGTTTTTGAAAGATAAATAGGAAAAAAAAATAAAGCTAACTCAACTGCATAGGTATTTGTTTGAGGGTGTGTATGTGTTAGTGTGTTGTGGTTGGAAAGGTGTTTTGGTATGAGTTTTGTTGTTGCTCTTTAGCGGCTTATCACAAAAATTTGTTAACAATGTTGGCAGCACCAACCAAAATTCTCATGTTTCGGTTGGGAAATCTTCAGGGAAAAACGCACAATTGAGCATCAGTTTTTGAGGTCGCCGAAAAACATGAAAATTGGTTAAAAACACCTAAAAAAAGGTGTCTTTTAAACAGGGAAAAATAACAGAAATGGCTTAAATATTACTACAAAAATTAATTTTAAAATATTAATTTATCTAAACAAATATTAAATATAATGTGAACAATTTGAAACACAAAGTTATAGTCATAACTATATGAGAATTATCAGAGAAAAGTGTTGTGAACATAAAAAAAATTAAAATTAGAAAAAATTGTAAAAACTGTAAATAACAATAAGAATTTTTTGTGTTTAAAAATAAAATGCTCCAAAATTAAGTGAATAAAAAAATACAAAACAATGATGTTATAAAATAATTTAAATAATTAACACGACAACATATAAACCTTTTTTTAATAACTGAAATCAAAGCTCCACATCAATTCCCAATAACAAATCTGTTTTTCAATCTCTCCAGCTGTTTAATAATCACGAAAACTGCCATGGCGAATGTGTAATAAAAAAAAGCTATTAGTGAAATAATTAATTTCAACGAAAAGTAAACCAAATTTAACGACAACCGCAAGGATATAAAAAAACGATGCACAAATGAAGCTGCAACGACATAAAACAAACTGCCAACAAAATATAAAAAAAGTAACTCAAGGAAAATCAAGGGAATCAAAACCCCAATGGGCCGCCATATGTTCATGGGGGACCATCCTCCTGTCCCTCATTTTCCTGACACACTTGGCGCAGGCCCAGGAAAATCCAAATCCACCAAAACAAACCGACTTGGAGGTGGAGTTTCTGCCGGATAATGATATCGAGTTCGCTAGTCTCGATGGCGCCACCCAGCTCCTGCCAGCAACGAGGCATTCCGACGTCACGACGGCGCCAACGACTTCCTCTCCCCCGGCCATGACGTCAGCCCTGTCATACACAGAACTGCAAGGTGGAGAAATCCTCAGCGAGCGTATCCTGCGGCTCAGCGAGAGTCCGTACTTGGCCCGCGAGGACTTGGAGGTGTTGCGCGGCGCCAAGCTGACCATCGAGCCTGGTGTCACCATCGAGTTTGCCCCCACAAAGGGGCTGAAAATCAGCGGCGTCCTGCAGGCGGTGGTAAGTTGAGGGAAAATTATGAGGAAATGGGGGAACAAATAAGTGAAAATTCATTATAGGGAAACTCGAGTAGGATTTACTGGGTCGGAAATTTGGTGTTTTATTAGTGCAATCTAAAAGGGTGGCAAGAAAATGCTTTAAGAGGAAATTTAGTAACTAGATGAATTACTTGAAAAATAATCCTAATGGCTTATGTCATTAATTCCATAAATGAATAACATTAAAAGAGAAAAATTAAAATTGAATGGTTTTTAACTAAAATGTATTAATTTTTATTTTATATAAATTTTTGCGCTGTCCACCATATACACCTGTTGTAGGCATTGTTTTTTGGCGAATGATTAAGCGGCACCTGTTGCTATCAGCTACTAAGAGTCCATTATGAGTAACCTCAATGATAGATAAGCCCCATACCAAGGGTTTCGTATGCCGGGGTTCTCTCATTGTTGACTTTTACAGACGCGATAAGATTGCGATTGTCTGATTTACACATCAGGCTTGGTTAAGGGGGAGATATGTATACACAGCAAATAATATACCTCAATTATTTTTATATCGAAATGAAAAGGAAATATATACAGTGAAAATTACGGAAAATTGTTTGTCATTAAATTAAATATAGTATACATAAATAAAAATAAAAAAATAAAAATATAAGAACGAAAAAATATATTATTAAATCCCAATTTCGTCTTGATCGTTGCTACAAAATTTCCCCCAGTGCAATGACAAACCAGAGAAACGCTCCGGATACCAAATGGAGGACAGGGCGTGCTCGTACACAGAGTATAGTGGTAGGTTAGGGCCTCTGGGCATGCGCAATCTTATGACCTGTCTCAAATTGGGTCAGCCAAGTTCAGTTCAGAGACTTCCTTCCAATTATCGGCATCAAAGAGCAATGTTTGCATGTTCCGGACTGTAGTTCTTATGGAGTAAAGTCACTTAATCAGCGGGTTCAAGGGGTCAGCGTGGGTTAATTAGATTTAAGTGAATGTCGGGAGAGCGAATAATTGAAAGGGAAATGTATGATTAAATTAGCTTTTTGTCAAGCGCTTAAGCTTAATTCTTAGCCCTCAATAATTATGTTTTCACACTTTTTTTTGTTGTGTTTTTTATTTTGGGAATATGCAAAATATCTGTGAGTCATGGGTTTTCGTGGGTTAAGAGTTCACCATAGCCAAGAGCGTTAATTAAATAAAAGTGTTTTGTTCTGTTGTCGCTGTGGGCGAAGATCTCTCCTATTTGGGTGGCTGATCTTCGAGGCAAACATAGGTGTTAATTAGTGCCCCAAATTGCCTGGAAATTACTATATAGTATACATTTTTCATGTCGATTTTCATTGGCAAGCGAAGGTTAAAGTGGCGAGAAGAGATCATAATTGAAAACGAAAATAATTGCATGCCGCGTGAGAGAGTCAAAGTGAAAATATGTGTGAATGAAAATGCTGAAGCAAGCAGCAGACATGTCTAATTGAAAATTAAATTATAACTGGGAAATATTTTCACTTTTTATGGTTTGTTATTATTTTTATATCAACATTTTTGATTAAGGGAATTAATGCGAAAATAAAAGTAGAAATGGAATATAAAATGTACATATCTTGTATTAATTTTTAATATTTTTCAGGGCACTCCAACCTCACGTATAGTGCTTAAATCCCAAAGTAACACTGCCAACTATAAACTTGAACTACCGGATGACCAGGAAAAGGGTATACGACTTGTGGATGGACCCACGCCCGTAGAGGGAAGACTGCAGCTTTTCCACAAAGGAGCCTGGCGTTCGGTTTGCTCCAATTCCAGAAAGTAAGTTTAAAAATCATTTTAAATATTATTTTAAAATTCAATAAATATTTTATTCCCAAACAGTTGGACATTACTGGACTATGGCGTGGCCTGCAAGCAGCTGGGCTACCGGGGAGGAAGATTCTGGAACTGGGTGGAAAGAACACCAGGATATTATCCCAGACTCCTCTATGAGCAGCCCAAGTGTCGCGGCGGGGAAAATAATCTCCAGAACTGCGCTTGGACGTCGAGACAAATGGGAGCCGGTGCCTGTGATTATCACAATGATCTGGGAATCCAGTGTCTTCCCGTCCACTCAGAGCCCCTGGGACACTGGCGAGGCATCTACTTTGATAATGCCCCCTCCACCAAGGCCTTGGGAAGAGACAACACCGTCTATGCCGCCCAATCAGAGTCACGTCTAAAATATGTGGACATCATAAGAGCAGGAAATGGTGCTGGCTTTAGTGCCAAGTCAGCAGTCGAAGTCCAGGGATTACCTCCCCAGATGGAGCACGTGGTGATCAGTCATTCGGCCTACACGGGCTTCAATAGCACCCTGCCCTGGGCTGGATTCCAGCTCCAGAATGTCACGGTGATGAAGAGCAATGGCATTGGGGTCTTTGTGAACTCCAGTCAGGGCTTAGTGCAGTTGGATGGATGCTCCATTGTGGACAATGCCGGTGATGGCATCAAGTATGTGGGCCATGATCTTAGGGGAACGGAGAGAAAGGATCGTGCCAGTATCTATGACTTTTGCACCCTGCCCACGACATCGGGACAAACCTATCCCATCTCCCTATCCTTCACCCAAAAATACTATTCCGGATCGGCCAAGGAGTGTGGCAAGTACTTCTTCACGAGACCCGGCTATCTGCTGACCCTGCACTTTGAGCACTTCTTCCTCATGCAAAACGAAACGGTCAGCGTGGAGGTCTACGATGGAGCCTCCACCAACGACCGTTTGTTGTTTGAATGGAAGGCCCGGAACTTTACAAGACCCCAGAGTGTTACCTCAACCCGGGACAAAATGTTCGTGAGGATCAGAGCAGACGCCAGGCAAGAGTTGAACGGTTACTTCCGCATTACATCGGGAGACTCGGTGGCCTATGATCTCAGAGTGGCCCAGTCCACCGTAGAGGATAATGGTGGTCGTGGTGTGGCTATAGACAACATTCGATCCAAGCTGCATGTCCACGGGAGCTCGGTGTCCGGTAATGGTCACGTGGCCGGCGTGCATGTGACCAGTGGCGCTGGAGATGTAAACATAACGAGCTCCAACATCAGCTTCAATAATGGCGCTGGTGTTAACATTACCTATTACGGAGGAAATCGTAACATCTCCAGGTCTGCGGTGAATGCCAACAAGGGTTACGGCGTGGCCACCTGGCTAAATCACACCACAGACATCAACAGAGTGGAGTATATACCCTTCAACCAGACCAGCGTGGTGGAATACTCGCAAATTGGTGGCAATCTAGAGACTGGCATCTTCCACGGCAACTTCTGTCGTCCCATTTGGGTGAACATCACTGGAAATAACTTCAATGGCAGTCAACAGAATGATGTCTTCATAGAGTCCTGTTACCAGGCCACAGCCAATGGACAGCCCAATATGCAGCTCCAGCTGGGACACAATCAGTTCAAGTACTCGCAAGCAAACTCCATAAACCTAAGTCCTGCCTTGAATCTGGTGGGCAGGATAGAGTACAACATGTTCCGATATGGTTCCTATGGCTGCCTGTTTGTGAACAATGATTACATATATCCGGAGTTCAACTACTTTCCCGTCAAGCTTCTCATACAAAGCAACTATTTCATGCGGAACAGTGGTGTCCATGTGGTTTCCCTGGGTCTATCGCCCTACAGCCGCTCTGAAGTACAGTACATACTCTTCACCCGGAACTTTGTGAGGGGTAACAATATAACCGAAGCCTTTGGCCCTCTCATAGCTGGCTCGGAGGGTAGTGATGGTGCTGGCAGGCTCAATCCTCGCTCTCGAGTGGCTGCTCCCGTTGTTATAGGCTCCAGTAATATCGATGTCTTCCGGAATATCCTTCACAATCTAGACTCCATGTACGAGATCGGGTCACAGCTCACGGATCAGAGCCAGATCATCAATGCCACCTGCAATTGGTTGGGCCACACCGATGAGAGTAAGATATATGCACGACTGTTTCATCGCAACGATCGCTATAATCTGGCCAAGATCAACTATATACCCTACTTGCTGCACAGCTCTAATCCGGGTTCCACTGCCATGATCACCGTTTCCACAGTGGTTCCGCGGTTTTTCCACGAGGGTAGTGATGTCATAGGAGGCGAAGTTGATGGCCAGGACATGGTTCCCGCGGGCACATACACGGTTACCAAGGATATTAACATCAGACCCGGTGGCAAGTTAATTTTATCACCTGGCACCATCCTCAAGTTTGAGCCAAGTGTGGGAATGATGGTTGCGGGCAAACTGGAAGCCCGAGGACGGCGACCGGACGATATACTCTTTACCCTGAAGAGGGAAACCATTATTGGAGAGCACAACGACACAGAGACCATTGATTTGGATAGTGAAACGGAGGCCGTGGATATGGAAACGGAGGTGATACCCGCTGATGGAGTGCCCAGAGTTCCAGTTCGATTGGTTGGCGGTGCCGGTGCTAACGAGGGACGACTGCAGGTGTATCTTAAAGGACGTTGGGGCACCGTCTGTGACTATGGCTGGAACGTGCTGAACGCTGCCTTGGTGTGTCACCAGCTGGGCTATTCACTCAATCCCGATGATTGGCGTTTGCTGCGCTCTCAACTCCCCAATGCCGGCACCTCGGAGGACATTCTGATGGCCAGTGTTCGCTGTACCCTTCAGGATCGTGATGTGACCAAGTGCAGGGCCGAGTACGAGTTCGAGAACACCTGTAGCCACGAGAACGACGTGGGTCTTCGGTGCTATGAAGGTGCCTGGGCTGGAATCCGCTTCAGCATGCTCGCCGAGAGAGCTGATCTCCAGTATGTGACCGTGGAGAAGGCCGGACTCTTTGACTACACCACAAATGCCTTTAAGCCCGCCGTTCAAATGGATCATGCCCGCCACAACCTGGAGAACGTGAGGGTGGTGAACAACCTACAAGACGGTCTGGGCATTGTCTACTCCGATCTCTATGCAGGCAAGTCGGTGAACAACATCAAGAACTCGGAGTTCTCTGGCAATCGAGGCAGTGGCATTAGCTTGAAACAACTCGACTTCCGGATCTCGGGATCCATCATCAAGGATAACAAGGGCAGTGGCATTACCCATGATGCCGTGATAGCTGCTCTGGATCAAAAGGAAATTGGGGGATGGTTCAACATGGCGAGGGACTTTAATGCCTATGACACCGACTATGATCCCTATGTACTGCCCCACGAGATAAGTAACGTTGATCTGGGAACCTTTGAGCACAAGTACATCAGAACTGAAGAGCTTCTCGGAGAGAATATCAACCGAAAAATAGTGGTTCAGTGCCCTGCTGGCTATGTCATAGGCATACAGCTCCTGAATCCCATTCACAATCTCTCGTCGGAGAGCATAAGCATCCTGAATGCCCGTACAGAGAATATTAGGAGTGATCTCTGGCAAGTGAAGAGGGATTTGAATGTCTTTCCGGTCACCAGCAGTAGCTATGGCATTATTATTTACTATGAAAGTGGCTTGCACGCTCTTGGTGGAGCTGTTCTGATGCTTAGTACAGTCACCGCGCCTGTTCAAAACATCCGAAATCGCATTGTCAGCGGTCCGGTGCCTACTCTAACAATTCGATCAACGAAAATTCAGAAAAATCTGAGAGGTATTACGGGCATCTACTACAATCGCTATATAGGCGATAATGGGGAGTATTACCTGCGAAAAGCCAACGAATCGATCAAGTTAATCAACTCCGAATTGAGCTTTAACGAACGAGAAGCTATTTTGATAAGATCACCTTTCTGGGATGTCATCTCTAGCAATATTTCCGAGGTTACCCTTCATGTGAATAGTTCCCTGATCTCGCAGAATGGTTTTGGCATACGACAAATGTCCAAGGATCTGCGATCGTCTAATAATTTGTTCCATTATGTGATCCAGGATACGACTGTCGAGCAGAACACCCATGGAGGTTTTCAGGTAGGAAAATATACATTTATTTAAAGCAGAAATAATATTTAAATTATGTTCTTTATTATTTTTAGGTCTCTCTTCCTTATGTCTGGCAATACAACGAAAACTTCACCCACTCTATTTATTTCGGCAACAGCACTTGGCAACGAAATCGTGACTTCCGCATCTCCGTCCATGGACACTACACGGTCTTCAATATAACCTCGAATGTTTTCCGTGAAAACAATTGTCCGGGAGCTCTGATCCTACTCGATGGCATGGAGAAGCGTCTGCGCTTCGACAACAATCGCTTTGAATCGAATAATGCCAAGTTTGTGCTGCTCTTCAAGGCGGATTCCCTTAGTGAGATCATAGGACAAGTACCAGCGAGCATCGAATACAATAGTTTCAAGGGAAATAATATTGTGACCATGACAGCAAACTATCGAAATCAGTATATGAAAGCTGCCCGAAGGATTAGAAAACAGCATAAGATACCCACCGCTGTCATCCGTTTAGATGGCGTCCAGAACGTTCGGCTATATCGCAATCTTATATCGGAAAATGAAATGGACTATAATCTGGTCGCCGGCGTGAGATCAGCCCGCTTGAATAACTACTTTGAGGCGAGAGAGAATTGGTGGGGTACTAAGGATACTGCCTTAATAGAGGCCAAGATCTTTGACTTTGACAATTGGAACGATCATGCCGATGTCATCTATCAGCCCTTCCTCATCGAGGACAGCTACGATGCCAGTGTCTCCGTGGTAGTGCCTTTTAATCAGGACCAGGAAGTAGATCTAACGACATATAGAGGTGGCCGAGTGTACAAGGATTTGATTTTAAAGAAACAGAACACCCCGTACTACATATCCTCTGATATCACAGTAATGCCTGGAAAAACCTTGACCATAAACCACGGAGTTACCATGGAATTTGAGCCCAATGTGGGTATCCTAGTCTTGGGTAATCTCGTGGCCATTGGCTACAAAGAATCTCCCATTGTGATGAGACCCTTTAGGAATGCCACCCGGGAGGCACTGACTGATAGCCAGCCCCAGAAGCGCGCTCTGGAGGATATGAGTGCTCCTTTGACCGAATTCGATGCCATCAGACTATGTACCAGTGCCAATAATTGCTCTGGCGATGCCGATGGCTTGTTTGGCCTGAACGAGGGCTTTTTGGAGTACTTTAACCACACCACTCTTCAGTGGGTGCCCATCTGTGACAGTCGATTCACGGAGAGAAATGCCCAGGTGGTGTGCCGAGAAATGGGCTACGATCCTCTAAATGTCTACTACGGTCATGATCGCCGGATCGAGTTCCACACGAATTCTTTGACCCGGATTTGGTCCTGGGTTCAACCCCTGGAATGTCGCGGTGACGAGGAGCGAATGGAGGATTGTGCCGAGCGCTTGAATGGTCAGCTGTATGGACATCGCCACGAGTGCCGGTGGGATGATGTCTTCGTTTTTGTCAGCTGCAACAGTGTTGCCGACGATGAGGTTTACTGGGGTGGAATTCGTTTTGCCAACTCAAAGTTCGAGGAGATCCAGTATGAACACAGAATGCACAACACAAGATCCCATGCCAGGCTACCGTTGAGGGAAAGCCAATTGGAGTTTGTCCAGATCGAGCAAGCGGGAATCCTGCATAATCACAAGGCGGCTGCCATACAGGCCATCCACAAGAACCCCTCCATAACCTCGGTGAGCATCGAGAACTCGGCCAACCACGGCATAAACCTAATAGCTCCCAGTGGAAAGCTCAACTTGAATCACTTGAACATTAACAAGACCCTGGGCACTGGCATCAGCATTGTGTCCCTCACCGGCGAAGGTCGCGATAGTGATGAATCTAGTTTTTCTCCTTTAAAGAAATTAGATTTACCCTACAAGCTCTTCTCTTTGGTGGACATGTGCGACCCACAGAAGGTCCTGACCATCGAAGAACGCATGATAATCTACTACAAATACGATAATAATCCCGTAAATTGTGTCAAGATCTTTACCTCGGCTTTCCGAGCCAAACCCATTGGGTTCCGATTGCTGCAATCGAATCTTTTCAATCACTCAAAGCTTTATGGAAGAACGGATTTTATTAAGCTATACGATGGCGACATATATAATGTAACAGCTACGTATTTGGGTAAAATTGAATCGGATACGGACAACCAGAGATCATTCTTCAAGACCAAGGGTCCAACAATGAGTCTGCAGTTGGTGGCCAGTGGTGCTCCCGAAACGCATGGATTTATAGCCGAGGTGGTCACGGTGCCCATTTCTACCTTAGGACAATGTAAGTATTATAGTAGTTACTGTCTTTATATAGATAATTTGTTAAAAGTACTTCAACTAGAATTTAAATGTATATTTTGTTTATAATAAATTTGTATACAAAATTATGTTCCCCCAGACCGCGATGCCCTCCACAACATCACAGACACACACATCTCAGGTGCCATGAAGGGAGCCGTAACGTACTCCTCCGCGGGCGAGGTCACGCCCACTCTAACTCTAATAGGAAATCGAATAGAAAGAAACTGTAGGCAATTGTATGGAAATTTCTCAACCTGTGCTTCTGCCTTGAACTTGGATGTGCAAAACATGAACTCTTTGTATTTTATGGTAAATGATAACATTCTTTAAATTTTTCAATTAACTTTAATGAATTACGATTACAGAACAACCTGATAATGGAAAATCAAGGAGGTCTCCGCATTCGAGCCGATTCCCGTGGCTCGGCCACCTCCTTAAGAGGCTTTGTTCATCACAATCTCTTTATGAGGAATCGCAATCGTCCGGCCTTGTATGTGGAAGGACGACAATCGTCGCCATACCAGGAAGTGGAACTATATCGGAATTACTTTGCCCAAAATATGGCCGGCTATGAGGATGTGATACGATTGTGCCAAGTGGTATCCAATTTCAGCTATAACTATGTTCACAGCAATGTGGGAGGAAGAATAATGGAGGTTTCAGGCTTTGAAAAGGTGCGATTGCAGATCTATCAGACCACGGCCCACAATGGTTTCTATAGGTAATATCTTAACTTCTTTTAATTTATATATTTGATTATTAATATATATTTATTATTTTAGAAACTTTGCTACCAATTGGATGACACGGGCCACTATTGTTGCAGGAACAGCGGGTCAACAATATGTGGATAATATTTTTGAGAACTATGAAAACGATTATGAGCTGCTGACAGTCAATAATTCTATGTAAATATTTTTATTTTAAGAAAAAAAAAACACAATTCTTGAAATATTTTGTTGTGAACTTTTGTTTACCTCTTAATTTTATCTTTAATCTTTAAGTTTTTGAGTTTTTAAATTCCTTCTAGACCTAAGCTCTTTCTTTTAATCCTTTTCTAATCTCTAAATTCTTTTTCTCTATTTTCTCCTCCTTTTGCCTGTGTAGTTTGAGTTTTGACTATGAAAACAGGTAAGATAAATCGGTTTAAACTAAAGCACTTAAGACTTTTATTAATTTTCAATTCATTTTCCCTTAGGACCTTTGAAACATGGAGCTCTAAGATCGATGCTCGTCACAATTATTGGAGCTATAATAATACCATTTCGGTGCAGTCTCGTATAAGAGATAAATCTGGTAAGCTTTTTCTGGTGAAATTAAATATTTTCAGCTATATAATAATTAATTCCTTGACCTACAGATGATCCCATGCTCCTGGAGGTGCTGGCCGTACCCTTCCAAATGAACAATGAAACCATACTCGATGGCAAGTGTCCACCAGGCTGGGCTTTGGTCCACGACACCTGCTTCATTTATGTGGGAGCCCCGATGACATTCCACGAGGCCCGAGACTTTTGTCGTTCAGAGAACTCCACCATGCCATTTATACGCACGGATAAGACGACGCTTTGGAGGTACTTGCAGTCTCAGATGAGGCACCTCAAGTATCCCGAGAAGGTTTGGATTCAGGACTACAATCACATTGAGAGGTGCACGAATTTTGTGTTTGGTGAAATCGAAATTGAGGATTGCAACAAGGAGAGGGGTTTCATTTGTGAAATGGATCCGAGGGTAAGTTGATCACAATTGAATATTTTGATAGCAGTATTAAAATCAATATCATAGATATTCAATAATTAAACGAAATTCACTAATTTTCAGGTCATAATTGATCCGCTTTCATGGCGTGCCGACATCTTTGCCATCAGTATTATCTCTGCCTTCGTCCTTGCCGTTATTTTATTGATCCTGGTGGCCTTCTGCTGGTTTGCCAAGTCCAAGCATCGCCATGTCCAGCGACTTCAGCGTAGGAATAGCATACGGCAGAGTTTACGCAGCTTGAACAGCATCGATCCGCAGGGCTCCCTACGACGAAGACCCAATTATGTATGATTTGCTTTTGATTTTCGTTCATCTTAATTTCTTTTTATTTTTAATTTCCCTAATTCTTTTTTGTATCATATTATTATTTCCTTGGTTAATCCAGAACATGTCCAGCAACGGAACCCTTTCCAAGAGCCAGGATTACAAGCAAATGGTGGCCAATGGCTCCATTGATTCCATGGACAAAAGTGTGCTTAGCTCCGAGGCGGGCAGCTTCGAGGGCTACGAACAGAAGCCCCACTACAATGAGTATGTGAACCAGAATGCTTTGAGACCTGCTCAGCAGGAGCACAAGGTGGCCACCATTTCCAAGGCTACAGGTCATCGAGCTCGCGCTGCTGCCGCCGCCGCTGCGGCCCTAGAGCCCGATGCCTTTGAGCTGAGTTATCGGAATGAGGGTTTCCGGGATAATTCCACCTACGGCGGCGGCACCAGAGCCAACTCTGTGAGCACCAGTGTGGCCGAGGACACCCCCATCATACATCACACGGATCAGGAGGGCGATGAGGGTGGCTCCGATTATTACGGAAATGCCAGTACGTTGCCCCTAAGAACAGAAATTGGAGGAGGCAGCAGCTCTCAGGGAGGTGGCCGTCGTGGTCAGCCCGGCTTGGCCTTCCTCAGCGAACTCAAGCAGAACCTGCCAGAATATCAGAGGAGCTCCCATAGCAGCTTTATGCCGCAACGGAGTAGCGGCGAGTCTTTGCCCTTTGACCAAAAGTTGGATCAATTCAACTACTCTACCGAGTCCTCCCTGTACCGACCGGCTCCGGCGGTTCCTCCTAGTTCCCAGAATGTGACGCCAGCGGACATGCGACGTCCAGACTCTTATTACACGGCCGTCAGGAGCAGCAAGGCTCCCGCCTCCCACTACAGGACACCGAGGCCACTGGCCCAGCCGCCGGCAGCTCCTCCTCCCACTCAGACGCACTCGTCGTCGTCCTCGTCTCGTCCCAAAACAGTATACCAAACGGCATCGGGGGAGTCCTCGCCGACCATAACGTCTCCACTATCCAATCCCTATCATCGCTCTAAGTCGGAGGCGCTCCTGGAAACAGATTTCGATGGGGATGGCGGGACAAGTGGTCTGCAGCCGCTGCAAACCAATGGACGTAGTCACAGTCAGCCTCTGGAGACGGCCATGTGATGATGAATAGTCCCCCCAATTTCATACTCTAATTTAAACTCATTTCACACCTTCAAAATGCCGAAATTATAAAATTTCCAAGCTCCTACAACTGCTTCGTAGCTTTTAGTTTATTTTGTGTTAACAAAAAAAAATAATTTTTAAAATCGAGATTACGATTGTGAGAGAGACAAAGAGAGACGAATACGCCCGCCCGTTGTTTATTTTTTTATTTGTGGTAAACTTAGATCATTCCATCCATTAGCCATTAAGTCTTAAGCTTAAATATTGCCTTAACGAACGCAAAAAACGAACTAGGCCTAAGATGTTGTATATATAATAAAAAACAATGTGTAAGAAAAATTGTGACAAAAAAAATAAATTAAACATAAAAAAAAAATCCTTTCTTCTGACATCCTCTCGATCGCTTTCCCTGTTCTTCGCAATGAGAATCACCGTTATTTCTAGCACACGCACACATAGATAATAATATCCAAAATGGTCTCTCCCGCTCTCTGTCTTCCTTTTTAGTTTTTTCTTGCACTCACCTTCTGTTCTCCCTTCTCTCTGCATGCATCGGCCATCATTTGGCCTAAATCAAGAATGGCAGGACACATTTTTTATTATTTTATTTACATAAATAAATACACTTTTACTTTCCCTTGTTAGGTTTTTATATTTACAAAACAAAAAATAAATAAAACACACACTCGCGGGACTTCTCTTCACTTCGGTGTCACCAGCCGGTAACTGAGCAAAAACAATTGAATAAAATCATTTAATTTTGTAGTCTTAAATTTATGCATAAATGCATAATTTGAGGTGTCTTTTTCCCAATTATAAAAAAGCCCAGATTGATTTCTCACCGGAAATGTTTATTGGGTTTGCTTTTTATGCGAGGCACAATATAAGAGAGGGAGAGAGCAGTGATACCATCTCGACTGTTTCCCCGTCAGATTCGGCTTTTTTAGCTTAAAATTGTTGTTGATTCAGCTTTTTCAGCTCCAGAAACAAATTATATTTGTGAGAGAGCGTGCTTTTGAGAGAATCAGCCTGCACTTTCTTATTGGATAGTGAGAGTGGGCGACGGTGTTGCCAGGTGACGACACCCCCGTATAATCTAGATTCGAAGCTAAAAAATAAAACAAGCAGCTTAGTTCGATAAACATTATTTTCTTTATTATTATCTTTTTTATTCGAATTTTTTTCTTGTAAAGCCTGTTTTGTAAACTTTTTAATGCCTGCGTAAACACATTTTTAACATAACCAATCCCTAAATACACATATTTAAATTAATTTTCTTGCGACATTTTTATTCAGGGTTTTTATTTGAGTTTATATTTGCGCCACCACAATTCAGCAATAAAATAATTTAAAATATATATCTGAACATCTATTATTATGCTTTTCCAGTGAGGTAGATCTAGCCTGAAATAAGCCAAAAAAGCATCACTATGGTAAGTGAGAGAGAGAGTAAAAGAGCGGAGAGCGTTTGAGCTTGTTTTGTCAAATTAAATTTGTAGTAGCGCTTTGCGCCATTCATCGTTCTTCACTCGCCGCTGGTTTTCCTCGATGTTCCCCAAACCAAAAGTCCAATTACCAACTTGTGCAAAATATACTATACCAAAAAATTAAGAAAAACAAAAAAATCTGTAATTAAATAGAAAAAAAAAAAAATAAATAAATAACATCGAGCGAGCGAATCAAGTAAGTTTTTTACTAAATAGCCCGTGTGTGTGCGTTCAAGTGCAAGTGTGCGAGAGAGAGAGTGAAAATATTGCTGTTGAAGTGAAGTTGCAAGCTTGCGTGCTAAATTTAGACCTCAAGCTGAAGGCTGTGCAACACAGAACACACCACCAGCCCCCACCACCCAACGCCGCCCACACAACTCTCCTCTCTGCAAAACTGTCGCGATACGTCAGACGCTCTCCAGTCCCGAGCTCGCGCGAGTGTGTGTGGTATGAATGGAACAAAAGTACTTAGACTTAAGCGACGTGTATTTGTTGATAAGAGGGGGGAGGCGGCGGTGGGTGGCAGATTATGTGTGTATTGGTGCATGTATGCATGTATTTGTGGCACGTAGACTCGTAGTAAAATTTTCCGCGTAAAATTGAAAGCAAATTGAAAAGCTCACGAGGGAGCTGCTGCAAAAACGCCAAAAACCTTGCAAAAAATAATAAAAAACTATTTTTAAAATTCTAAAAAATGTATTGCAACCAAATCTATAAGATCTTGTTGAGCGTCAGTGAAAAAGTGAAATTAAAAGGTAAAAATAGATGTACAACAATAATACTTACATAGATTTTAAATAAAAAACATTAAAAATATTTCGAAAATGCCTCAAATTATATAAAAGTGGCTGCAAAATTCCATGGGTCAAAAATCCCAATTGAGAGTAGCCGAAAAACCAGTTCGTGCGTAGTTTTCCATGTCATGTTTTCCCCCAAAGCGAGCTCCAAACAATTTCCCATATCATCCATCGTTGCAACGAGTTTCGCACGCTTCGTCTTTACTTTTTGCACCGTAGTTGCTCTCCGCTTTGCTCTGCTGCCGCACGTTACTACTCACATATGTACACAGAGGCACAAGGAATAGGCAATAGCTCCGACCCCCTCCCCCTCCCTTCCATTTTCCATGCTCCCACATGGGCATCGCATCCAATTCCGAAGTGTAGTAAGTGCACTTTGGTGAGCGCGACAGGGTTGCCAGAGCGACGCAATTTTGCGCAATAGCTGGGTGGGAATGGGCGAAGAATTTAATGAATGGGAAAAACAAAAACTGCACACTAAAACAACTCGGCCGTAGGAAATGTTAATTCAATTCGCTAATTAATGCACGTGCAATTAATTATAGTGCTCAACTTTGTAATGTTGCTTTGTAATACAAGGAGACTATAATCAATGGTAGCGATAAATAATGTAAATGCAATAACAGATAATAGTCCGAGAAGTCAAGTCATTCACCCATCCATCTGGTAACCCTGGAAATTGCAACTGAGAAGAGAGTGGGAGGCACATGGTGGAATAAGAATGGAAGAAGAGAGAGCAGTCTCCAGCGCCAGCGCAGAGCACAGATTTGCGGAGATGCCACATCGTGCGCAATAAGTTTTCAGTTGCAGCTAGCCGGTGACGCGAATGGGCCTTGTGCTACAGAAGCTACAGACTAACGGGGCACATAGTAACGCCGTAGTAATCAGCGGAGTCAGCAGGCGTAGGCGGATCCAAAACCGTTGCACAACTGCACTTTTGCTGCGGAAAACTGGAGAAGCGCGCGGAAAATAAAGGGAACACGTGAATTCAGCCAACACTTCGACGGCGCGGAATCTCGACGTTACCGTTTAATTGCGGGCAGTGCGGTGGTGTCCTTTTAGTTTCCCGTCTGGCTTCCGTTGTTCCCGTGCGAAAAAATCAATAATTCCGTGCTGTATAAGTTACGGCGAAAGGTGCGCGGACTCGGTTTTCGTTCGGCTCTCTCTCACCGCTTTACCGTTACTCGCTAACTACGGAAATTACAACCGCCGAGAGAGTGTGGGCGACACACAGAGAGAGAGAGAGAGAGAGAAGGACAACTTACAACCCAAGTGAGAGAGAACGTAAACGTGATTGAAATTTTTGCACAAAAGGAAGCGCCGCTTACGCTTTACACGCGCGCCAAAGCAAAGAAAACGAGAGAGAGGAAGCGGAATCAGAAAACGAAGTAGCGCGTAAAAATAACAAACAAAAATACATGCGGAGGCGTATAAATAGAAACAGCGTGTAAAGCGCAACGGCAAAAAAGTCAGTAGTATGTAGTAATAGTAGTAGAAGGAGAAACCGGAGGAGACAGAACATCGAAGCCGACTGCGGCGCCGGCGCCGACGCTGACGCTGACTGCGACGTCGTAGTAAGTTTTTTCTGCACTCTGTGTGTGTGTTTGTGTATTTCGCGCGCGTGTGCGTCGGTGTTTGTGTGCTTTGCGTGGGTGCTGCAACGTCGTTTTACGCACACAGCGTAGAATGTGGAATAAATAAAAGTCCGAAGAAGAGGAGCTGAGAGGAAAATCATGATAAAGTTTGTCAGGCAAAAGAATCGCGAAAACTCACTAAGGGCATCCAAAAATTTTATGCGAAAAAAGGTGTGATATCAAATTATTTTTTTACGTTTTAAGGCCCTTGTAAAGGGTATTAGTATTATGCGACCTTATAAAGTACATAATATATTTAAATAAAACTTTGCACATCTTTAGACATCTTTCTATTTTAGACACCATATCCTAATTTGACTTCATCAATAATTTAATTTTTTTTAAATATTTGTTTTTACCTTTAAGTGTAAAAACTTAAATTTAAATTAATTATTAGATTTTACAACTTATGATTTTATTTTAATTAAAGAATATAACTTTTTTTATACAGCGTGAATCGAATGACTCTGGCACCGAATCTGATGGTGAACTCCTCGATGTGGAAAACCAACGTCACTTAGACGTGGATATGGAAACTAGTAAGTTATTTAAATTAGAATTTAAACATAAATTATAGCCCTTTCTTGGATACAATTTTTAAGAACAACCTTGCTTAAAAGTTTAAGAGTTGAATACAAAGATAAATAAATTCCTAATAAAACGTTTTTATTTCTAAATTTTTATAAACTAACAGAAAACTAACTAATCTCAATAATAATCTCAACCTATTTGTAGGTGTTGCTGGCCAACAAAAATCAATCACTGCTCCTGCAATGATGTGTCACCAGCCGAACTCGTCCTCATCCTGCGCCCATCTCATGTACGACCAGCACAGTTCCGAGGAGGAGCTCGAGGTGATCAATGGGCCGTCGTCGCAGGCAGGTCAGCATCCTGGCGGAACGACGAATGTGGCGGGAACGGGTGGTGGTTCCTCCTCGTGCACATCCAGGATCTCTAATCGGGGCTGCAACTCTTCGTTGGACACAGAGGCGCCCCCATACGAGGAGCGGGCCACCACATCCTCAAACTCAAAGCGCTCCACCAGCTCCACTCTAATGGTGGAGAATCGTAAGCGTTCGCTGGCCCATAGCTCCGATGATGAGGTGGGTTACAGTCCATTTTCGATAGAACTACTTTTTCTATAATTTTTAATATCTTTTCTTTACAGCTTCGCAACTCGCTGGAGCCCATATTGACGCCCGTGAATTTTCGTACATCGCCGCCATTGGAGGCATTCAAGCCAAATCGTAGCCATATGATGTTCCGCTCCACAACGCCACTGATATTATCGGAGGCCCGTTGTGGCATCGAAAATATTCAATTATGTGATAATAGTGTTAACGAGGAGAATGGCGGCGGCGACTCAGGAGCAGGAACAGGAGCAGCAGCAGCAGCAGGAGTGGGAGCAACTAGCAAGTGTGCCAAGATTGGCAACGCACCTGGGAATGGAGGCAATGAGAATGAGCCAACAACGAGCGTGATAAAGGCATGCAGCAGCTCCCTGAAGATGAGCAATAGCAGCCATCACATTTATCAGCCGCAGCCCAAGTATAGTTTCCATTACAATAGCTCGAGGAGCAGTCCGGCCAGCACCACCGGCCTGGATATGGATATGGTTCGTTCAGTAAGTCCGCCAGCGAAGCTTTTTCATTGCGCCATATCGCCGCGGAGGCGACCTAGCAGTAATAATGCCAGCGGCGGAGGAGGATCAGGATCAGCCACAACAACGACACAAAATGCTGCCAATTCCGGAAACGGCAATGCCGGAAACGCCGCCGCCGCCACACAGAGACTGCAGCGACCGCATCGGCCGTGTTTAGATTTTGATAAGATGCAGCAGGTGAGCCTCTAATGCAGAGAGCGCTAAAAGCAAGGGGCAAGGATCGGAAAAGAGGAGTAGAAACCGGGGCAAATCAAAGACTTTTATACGAGAGACACAGCAGAGGAGCCGAAGTACCTAAGGATTGAGGTATGCCTCCAGTGAGAACCCCCCAGAGAGGAGCAGCAGCAAGCGAGAGAGAGAGAGGAAGTGGAAGATATATCATCAAATCAAATTAAAAAATATTAAAAACAAAAAGGTAATTCACATTTTAAAATACAAACCAAATTAAAAGAGAAACCACTAAAATTTACAATAGAAAAGCAGCAGCTATTTTTTCACAACTTTTAAACCTAAAAGAAAATAATAAAAAAACATGACAGAAAGCAGGGGAAAGAGAGAGAGCGCAGAGTAGAAAGCTGTAAAAAAAAAAAGCTAAGGATATATAGGAAAGACTCACTTGGACAGGAAGCTCGATGTAAAGGAGTTGAAGAACAAGAGAAAGCTGAGATTTAGATTGTAAACGAAAAAGAAATCCAGTTCTTTGTAAACTGTATATATTGTGTATTTGAGGAATTTTTGAAGAATTGGCGAGCCATCGATAGGAGCAGAAGTATTTTAATTTTTTTAAAAGTGATTGATATTGACAGAAGACTCGAACAAAATTATATTTCTATAAATTGAAGGTGAAGAACGAATATGAAGAGAAAGGAAAGTGAAAAGTAAGGAAAAATGGAACAAAAAATAGCAACAGCAAAAAAAAAAAAAAAAAAAAACAAAATGTGAAGAAACAATAGCAACTGAAAGATTATTAAAACAAAAAACAACACACTTTTGTATCAAATCGAAAGCCGAAAGTAACTGGGTAACAGTTTAAAAACAGTTAAATATGTGTTTAAATGTACAACATAAAATAGCAAGCTATTTTATAAACAATATTCAATTTAATCCAAACAATTAAGGGAGAAACCAAGAAGAAAACAAAGAAAAAACAAAAAGCTGCCATCAACATTCATGCATTAAAGCGGTTCAGTTTTACCAATATTGATTGATTGATTGATTGATTGATTGATTGATTGATGATGATAAACGCAACAATTAAACAATTGGCAATATAATAATTTCTTTGTCAAAGCAAAAAATAAAAACCAACTAAAACCCCATATTCAATTCCAAGAAAACCAAATAAAAAGCAAAAGAAAACTTAAACCAATAAATGTGTGCATCCATAGCAAAAAGCAAATGAATTAAGCAAACAAAAAATACATTTTTAAGTACCATATATAAATATTAAAAGCAAGCAAGAATATTCAAAACTAATTGCTAATTTTAAATCATATTTAGTATGACGACGAAATTTCAGTTAATGCCAACCACAAAAAACGTAGTCAAATGGTATTTGATAATTTTTTCTCTCAATAATCATCTCTAAAAACGTTTCACAGAATCACACCCAACAAACACTAAATACATTCAACCTACCAAAACAAACAACAGCATAATCCACACCACCTACACACCAAGAATATATATAATATATATATATAATAATAGCGATGAGATCGAAGAGAAACATCAGGCAAAGTTAGGATCGGGCTGGGAGAAGAGTGACGAAGTGATGAAGAATGGATACTGAATAACTGATGACTAGAAATGCAGTTTTCATAATTTTTAAATTAATTAAGAGAAGGGAAAATATATTATCGGTGTGGCCACACAGAAATCGTTATCTAACAAGTGTGCAATAAAATATTGAACACCCTTTCAAGGGATTTAAGATTTCTGTTGGCCTTCCCGATATATCAATGTATAATGATGTGTAAACTGGAGAAGCGAAGAAATGGGGGAAATTAAGATATCAATGGACTGAGCATTACATTAAAGCGTGAAAGTGGAGAAAGCGGTATGTGAAGCAAACCCAATACTAGGATTTTAGTTGATAAGTTCTTAAGTTCGTGGAAAGGAAAACATTGTGAACAAAAAACGGCTAACAAATATGGAAAGCACACACAAAATCTATGATTTATTTGAATATTTTTCTGAGAGAAACAAAACAAAAATGAAACAAAACAAGAAAAAAAGAGAAAAACAAAAATTATGTTGTAAACAAAAAGGAAAAAAAAAAAACAAACAAAGATTTCATTGTGTTGTACATAGTTACATTAATTACAAACAATATATATATCTTACTCATTAACTATTAAGTCGATGAACGGTACAAGTGCAACAAAAAAAGGAAGAAGCGAAAAAAATATGAAAATAAAAACAAATGGAGAACAATTAAAAAAACAACAACAAAAGAAGGAATAATGAAGACAAGAGAAGAGATGAACAAAAAACATGAAAATAATAAAGAAATGCTCTGCAAAATAGAAGTTTATTGGAGTGAATATTTTTAGATTGGACATCGTGGGTTCCGTGGAACAAATACTTTTAATAATCAAACAATTTATTTTTTAATTTTTTATATTTTTTTATTGTTTATTATTTTTTGTATTTTTTTGTTTTATTTTTATTTATTTTATTTATTATTTCTTTTATTTTTTTAAATTTGGAGGGATGGAGGGAAAGCAGCTGGCTCTCTCTCTTCCTCTGGCTTAAACAAAAATTTAAGAGACCTGGTTATTTATTTATTTATCTTATTTATTGTTTGTTCTTTATTATTATTATTATTCTATCTTATTGTTTATTCTTTTTACTGTCTTTCGTTAAATCCTTATCTTCTCCTTCTTATCTTCCTGACCCACCCCGTCTTCCTCTTCTGTTTACATGTTCTAAAATTTAAATTATATTGTGTTTGTTTTATTTTATTTATAATTTAATCTTTATTTTATTATTATTTATTTTTTCTTCATTTCTTAAATAATAATTTTAAAGTCTTATATGAAGCCTTAGATTTCTTACTTAAATTCCATTCTCACTTATTTTCCATTCTTCTCCATTATTTATTTACATATTTTGTACAATTTTTTAAAAACTACTTTAAAGAAACCTTGGCTTGGCATAGCAGCGTGGCTATGAGCCCGGTATTTCCCCCTCAGACTTGTGGTTTTGTGTGTGATTCTCCTCCTGATCCTGTAATTTATTTGTAGAAGCAACAGCCGCTGCCTTTTCCTTCTTCTTCCCCTTTTCCAAGGCAGCATTTCCGTTTCTGGCGGGATCATGGATGCGTGAATGTCGCTTAAGATCCCCAGACACTCGGAATTTCTTTTCGCAAATCGAACACTCGTAAGGTCGCTCTCCCGTGTGAACTTTAACGTGACTCAACAGATAGGAGCTGGCGCGAAAGGTTTTCTCGCAATACGGACAGGCATAGTTCCTTTCGCTGGTGTGGATTCTCCGATGGAGTACAAGGGAATACCGCCGGGAGAAGCTCTTGCCGCAGAATTCGCACATGTGAGCCTTAATGTCGCTGTGTCGGGAGATGATGTGATACTTGAGATCGCCCCATTGCCGGAATTTAAAGTCGCATTTTTCGCATTTAAAGGGTTTGACGCCGGAATCTGTCGGGGAGGGATTAGTGCTTTATATAATTCTTTTATTATTCATCTCTAAACTCACGTGTTCTCTCATGAGCCTTGAGGGCACTCTGGGTGTAGAAGGATCTCTCGCAGCTTTCGCATTTGTGGGATCTCTGCTGGTTGTGTGTATATTGATGGTACTTTAAAGCATTATACGAGTTGAAGTCGCGACTGCACTTGTCGCAAAAGTGCTTTCTCCTGGCCTTTCCACTGGAGTCTTCGGTTAAACTGGTGTCTAGTCCAGCCAACGAGTAGCTCTCTTGGTGTTCATCAGTCTCTTGGGGATCTCCTTCTTCTTCGTCGAAGGGTGAAGGTGGTCTGCTGTCGTCTTCCTCCAGTTTGAAGCCTTCATCTATCATCAAAGGGGAGCGACGAAGTTGCTCGATTGAGGAGTTGGTTTGAGGATGAGGGTGTGCAGGAGGAGGAGGAGGTGGAGGAACCTGTTCCAAGGTCTGTTCCATATCCTCGTTAGCCTTGGCCCTCTCCATTTTGGGCTCTGTTTTTGGCACTCCATTTAGGAAATCCAGCGCCATGTGTGGACTCTCCTTGAGCAGGGCAGGAGCCGCCGAAGCTGAAGTCGATGACGACGACGATGGTGGTGGCTCTCCTGGCAACAGCAAAGCAGGAAAAGTGATGTCCCTAAAGTTATTATTGAACCAAGGAGCCGTCATGCCACTGGAGGTTAGCTCTAGATCCACAAGCTCATCGCAAGTGTCCTCTATAGACACCTTATCCACCACATTCCGTATGCCTTCCAGCATGTCCTCCGTGTCACTAAACTCCACATCATCGTCTACAGGCACAGGTATGGGATTTGGTGGGGGTACGACTATAACAGGACTGAGTTTATCGGAGGTTTGGCCAGGCAACACCATATTGACGCCCACATTGCTGGGCACAACATCGTCATCATCGTCGTCATCCTCCTCCACATGATGGTGATGGTGGTGATGATGATGGTGGTGGCTGATGTTGTGGAAATTCTCAAAGTTTAGTTGGACATCGTGAAAGACTTGATCCAGTTTGGCCTGTTCCTGTTGGAGCTTATCCTGGGCAGACAAGCCGCACATGTCCAGAGGCTCCTTTTGCAGCTGCTGTTGATGATGCTGCTGCTGCTGGGGATTATGATTCTGCTGCTGCTCCGTGGGCTCATAGTGCTGCTTTAGATGGGCAAAGAAATCCAATTGCGTGTGCACCGCATAACCACAAATCTCACAGCTGTAGAGCGCCGCAGAGCCCGGTACATCCGGCACATCCTCCTGTACCAGCTCCTTGTGCTGATGCTGCTGCTGATGCTCCACTAGCAGATCGTTGTTGTCCATGTTACCCTTGAGCTTCCTGGAGATTCGTTTTTTGTGGGGCAGCACTTTCCTTGCATTCATGCAGGCGGATGAGGCATACAGCAGCTCCTCGGTGGCCACCACATCCATGATGGGCACTGGTATGGGCTCGATGTTGCCCAGAGCGGGAAATGCGGGCTGCTGGTTGACTTCCTGTTGATGATTAACCTGATGCTGTTGCTGCTGCTGCTCTACACTTTCCGGCGACGATGAGGATTTGTTTACAAACTGGAAAATAGTGTTTAGGGATTCTGGTGTAAGGGTGTCCTTGATCTCCACGTCCGCATAGGCGGATCCAGCGGGATGATGCACAGCATTGGTGCTGAGGTTGGTGGGTCCTTCCGCCTTGTAGGTGTGATCTATGAGATCCATTATAAAGTGGTTGGGATCGCGCATTAGCTCCGTGGCGAGGAGGGACTATTTAAGAGGGAAAATGAAGGATTTATCAGGATAAACCTTTGGGGTTTTCTCTAGAATTCGAAACTTACGTGATCCATAAACTGTTGTTCCACTTCCTTGCGCTCCATTTTGTATGATTTTGGCTTGGAAATTCATTCAAGGTGGAAAATGGTTTACAGCTTGGGTTTTCTTCTTGCTGTTGAGGACAGGTACAGCTTGCTGGAAGACCTCCTCTTCTGGAAGTTTTTTTTCTTAATAAATTAATATTTCATTTTTTTTGAGTTAATAACAATTTTAACAATTGTTGGTTCTTTTTTTATTGGTGGAAATTTCTAAATGCAGTTCAAGTGTTGGTAAACGTCAGCAGACCATCAGCTGTTGCTGTTATGTTAACAACAGAACGGGTCCAAGGCAAGCAGTGTAAAGTAAACTGCTTGCAGGCTGTTAAGGAAAAAGAGCGCAATATTTGAAATAGGTTTCTTATCACTAACGATAATTTTTCATTTTAATAATAAATAATAGATATATAAATATAAGAAATTATAATAACTAATAAATAGTTGGAAAATTCTAGGAATAAATTAAAAAAATATTTTTTATTTCTTAGGATAATAAACATTTAGATAAAAAATATCACAATTTCGACAGAAAATAAGGTTTCTAGGTTGATTTCTTTACTTAGTCCCTGCTCTTGTTGTGTTATTGGGCAAATAAAAATTTCATAAAATATGTTAGTCAGCAAATATCTTCCTTAAAATGTTGAAATACTTTCTTAAATTTAATTTTTTCCGTTATACCAAATATTTAATCAAATTTCAAAATATTGTTTGAATTAAATGCTAAGAAATCTCGTACATCTCAAAGTGTTTGTTATGATTTATAGGAAATCATCTCATTCTCTCTCCCAATCTTCAAAGGGCATTTGCAACCCCTTCCATGACTTGTCAATTGCTTCGCTCAAGGTGTTCCTTGATGGATTCCCTCTCGCAGAGATTTCTCCTCCCACAGAATCCAACTCGCAAAGATTCCTCCTCCCACAGAATCCAACTCCCAGTGATCCCTCCTCCCCCAAATTCCTACTCCCAGTGATTCCATTATTATTGTTAGGATTCATGGGAATTCGTGTGCATAATTCAACCGATTCGATACTCGTATTCAGAGGAGTGCCTTCTCTGAGTGAGTCAGAGAAAAGAGATCAAAGCTCTCCCAGAAAAATGTGTGTTGGATTGTCTAATAATTGTTTATTAAACATTAATAGTTGCTAAGCAGCAGCCGTCCCTCGTCACTTGAAATTGTACATAAAATTTTATAGACCTTTTTGCGGTTGAAGTCGAGCCTATAAATATCCAGAGAGTCGAACATATGGCCAACCACTGACTGCTCGGTGCTCGGTGCTCCTTCTCCCTAAGCCCCCTGATCCCTTTACCATAAATATGTTGATATATCACTGAGCAGGATTAGCTTCCTGTTTGCAACCATATGGAGATTGGAGATTGGATGAGGGGCAAATCGTCGTGGATTATGTGCCACTTCAGACGTCACTGTGTGTGTGTATGGGGAATATACTATATGAAGTGTTAATTTGTTAAGGGGAATATATGCTATGAATGTTTATTGCTCTGTTTGTTGTTGAACTTTATGTTTCAACCAATTGGTGAAGCAAATGGGGGAATTTTCGGAATTTTTAGGAGGGAAATAAGGGCGAGAGGGAGCTATTAATTGTAAATTTCTATGTATGGCAACAGCTTATTAGTTAATTTTATATTAATAGGGTTTTAGTTTAGTGTTTAGGGAGGGTCTTTAATAGTTCATTATTTATAGAAACCTTTTATTAACTTAATTTAATTGTATTTAAGGTTAGTTTTGTACCTTAAACAGTCTCCAATAATAAGTATATGTTTTATAAAGTTTAATTTAATATATATTTATATTATTTTTATGTTTAGAAACATGGTCTTACAGATTAATTTTTAATACAAAGTATTTATACATTTTTGGTTTACTTTAATATTTATTGAGACTAGTTTTATTGTGATTTATAAGCTTGATAAGTATTACAAGAAATATTATATAAAAATGAAACATTTTTCAGTGTTAAATTAATTTTTCTAGATCTTAGTTTCAAACAATAATTAAAATAAACTCTGAGTTTCTTTATCTCTTTTTTCTTCAATTTCCAAATATTATTTTTGTCTATAATTTTTTCTCTTTTGTTGCCATTCTATAGCCACTCCTTTAAATTGCAATATTTTCTTATAAATATTATTTTTTCATTAAGGGAAAAATGCAAATTGTTTACTTTTTGGCTCACACATTAGAAACGCCCACCAACCGGCAGCAGCTGCCCACCAGATATCTAGGTTTTAAGTATTCCATATTTCTACCTGACTCTGTATCTTTTGCGGCTTCATTTGTTTATTTTGCGAGCTACCAAACGAATTTTTGTTTTGTTTGTTTTTGGTTTATCGCTTTTCCTTAAATTCTATAATAAATAAATAGCAAAAAAAGTAAATTCTTTGTGGTTTTCAAATATTTTTCACAAATATGCAAAGTCAATATTTGTTTATGGCGAAACAAAAAATAAATACAATAACCTGCGTGGGTGGAAAAGGGGATTGCTATGGTTAGTTTCTGGGAAAAGGGATTTTGATTTTTAGATTTAAGGCTGTGTTTATTTTTTGAGGTTTTTATTTTTTATGAATTACTTTTAAAATAAATTAATTAGAGTAATTTTAGTTATCTAAATTTTTAAAAAGTATTTTTTAACAAGAAAAAGTGTTAATTACTATAAAAACAAGAACTCTAATTATTAAATTCATTATATTTATTTTTGCATACTTTCTTGAGACCTTTTTGGTTAACTTTACTTATAATTTTCCATCAGGTTCTTCTTCTAGAACCTTAAATAAATATTTCCCACTTGATTTCTCCTCTAACAATCCTTGGCTCAGCTCGTTAGACAAGTTTTGCGCAGTAAAAAAATAAAGGAAAAACTGAGAAAAAAGGACTGCGGCTGTCAAGAGATTTTTCATACACACTTTTTGTTACATTTCGGTATATACAATACATAATGCCATTATTATCATAAGCGTGCTTTTTTGTGGATACAACAAAAGCAGCAGCAGCAAGTAAGTTTTTGTAATAAAAAACACACAAAACACGGAGGCTAGGAAGGACCCCTGAAAATCGGGCAGGAAGCGCATGCAAGTGCCCAAGTGCCTTCTTTTGTTCTTCGTCACGTACTGCGGTGCTGTTGGCTCCCCTCCGGAACTAACCACCTTACAGCCAGGAGGAGGTACAACCGGGACCTTACAGCTAGGGGGAGAGGGGGAGGCACCAGGAGGCAGGAGCCAGGACCAACCTACCGCAGATGCCTCGAGTTTTTGCGCAAAAGAGGAAGCGGAAACAGCCACAAACAGCAGTGGCGACAACAACATCATCGAGAGCGGTTCGATCGCTGGAGAGCTTGCGGGATACCCTGGGTAATAGGGGGGATATTGGGTTTTTCAATTTTCAATTTCCAAATTTTCATTTTTTTTAATAGTTTAATTGTTTATTTTACTTTATTTTTTGGATTTTTTTATTATGTTTATTTTATTGTATTTTTAAAATATTTTTTAAATTTAATTATATTTATAGGTTTTTTAGGAAGTAAAAAATTATAATAAAATAATAATATTAATAATTAAACTAATAATGTAAAAATATTAAAAAGAATAATAATTTCTTCTCTTTCATTATTATTTTTATTTAATTCTTTAGTAGAGTACGTTTTTATTTTTCAATTATTTGTTTTTTTATTTTTGAAAAATTTACCCCATAAATTATTATTATTTTCTTAAAAATTAGGAACTTTTTAAGAGATGTTTAAACTTTGTTTCCATTTCTTAAATCTTGTAAACATGTTTTCCTTTTTTAATACCCATTGTTTCTTGTTGTTGTGGCCTCTTCGAGTTTTGTCGCCTTGCGGGGTCCAAATTATAAAACAAAAGCTACAAAATGTAGACAAAATGCAAAAACAAACAGCCCCCCAGAAGCTCCCCTCCCTCCCCCTTGGAAAACCCCATTTTCCAACCTTCCATTTCCATTTCCACTTTGCTGTTGGTGCTGGCTGCTGCATAAATATTGTCAGCAGCAGTGCTTTTTGTCTGGCTTTTCCTTCTTCTCCCTGTTTTCCTCCCCCAAAACTTTCCCATTCTCTGCTCATGTTTTTTCCACCATTTTCCCCTCCCATTTGCCTTTATTTTTGTTGTTAACATATTTTGTGCTCATCTCAGCGAAAAATCTGTTGACGCAATTGTCACGTGCTTGCCTGAGTCCGTGTCCTGCCAAAAGGATGATGCTTTTTACATAGTTTTTTTTAAGAAGAAGAAGAGAAAAAACACATGGTCCTTGCCTCGTGCCACTTTTGTCTCGTGCCTGTGGGCTTTGAGCTGCTCCTCCTTCTTCTGGTTAAGTGCAATGCGACGGCGTACAAGTGGCGATGCTGGCATCTCTGATTTACACTTGTCTCTTCCCAAAGAAAAGGACATTATGTGGTGGTTAATGGTTATCATTTTGCGGTAGGCTGTGGCAGGATTCATAAGGGATTGCGATGTTATCGGGTTCTAAGTGAAAAGCTATTACTGAGATTATTTTTAATTGCTGTTATGAGATTAAATTTTGATGGGTTAATGGGGAACAATTTTATAGAGGTGAAAGTTTGGGTTACTAATGGGTTAATTATGAGTTTATTAAGTTTATAAAAAGGTTATTAAAAAGTACAGATAAATACACAGACAAGAGGTGCAAAAACTCGCTAAGAGTGCACTTATAATTCCCAACTACGAATTCGGTGACACAGAAGTCTTTTTTTTCGAATTAAAAAAAGCAGACTTTAACTCGAGCTATCAACATCGTTCATATGCCATTAAAAGCTGTCTAAAATATTAAAGAAAATATTTAGAAACTCATTTTTGTTACTCCACTAAAATATTGGCATATGTGTTCATAAAAGACGGCTTGTTCCGCCATTCAAACCTCACACTAGTGGGTCTCCACCGCAGGCCAAGCCACCAAACTAATTAAAGGAATCTCCCGCTTTCGAAAGACTCCTGGTTCCTGTTCCCCTTTTTAGAAATATAAATAATAACCAAAAGTAAACCAGGGATCGACTGTTTTGCTACCCCGCTAGGCTTGCACACGCCCTGCTCTACCTTTTTGCCAATCTCCCCGATAAACCAAGGCAGGACACACCCCGCCAAAAAAAGAAATCCCTAAAAACCGAAATCAAAAGAAATATATATATATATATATATTTATTTCGCCATGGAGCGA